AAACATACGCTCAAAGAGATGTGTACTTATACATACATACTCTCAGAGAGACATGCACATACACAAACATACGCTCAAAGAGATGTGTACTTACACATACATACGCTCAGAGAGACATGCACATACACAAACATACGCTCAAAGAGATGTGTACTTATACATACATACTCTCAGAGAGACATGCACATACACAAACATACGCTCAAAGAGATGTGTACTTATACATACATACTCTCAGAGAGACATGCACATACACATACATATGCTCAAAGAGATGTGTACTTATACATACATACGCTCAGAGAGACATGCACATACACATACATATGCTCAAAGAGATGTGTACTTATACATACATACGCTCAGAGACATGCACATACATATGCATACTGTATGCTCAAAGAGACATACACATACATACACTCAAAGAGATGTGTACTTACACAAACATACTTAGTCAAAGAGACATTATTTATATATGCAAAAAAAGTGTTTAAACAGACATACAAACAGACAGGTGAACAGACACATTATGTACACAGACATACAAAGAGACATAAGCAGACAGACAGAGACAGACAGAGACAGACAGAGACAGAGACACAGACAGATACAGACAGACAGAGACAGACACAGACAGGGACAGAGACAGAGACAGACAGAGTCGGGCCGATATTTCCTGCCACTATCTTCGGGCCGGGCCGGGCTGGGCGGGGCCATGATCAAGCATTTGTGTGTGGTTTTTTTTTTTTAAATCATTACTTAATTAGCCTAATTGGGTGGAGAGCTATGCCATAATTATAAATGTAGCTCCCTCCCGTAAGACACGAGCACAAGAGTCCTTTGCATTTAACTGAGCCGACGGTTTATTCGAAAGACAGTGGCTTCGTTATTATCACCATCATGGCAGACGTGAGAACTAAATACAGATACGGAAACACAAAATCAAGCACATTTACTTACAATATTAGCTAACAAACATTGAAATTCAAATGAAATATAAACATAAATAACAATAAAGACAGCTTAGAGAATTCATATACAGTTAACACGAACCTCAGTTAGCATTTACATTTACATGGCTAAATACAACAAACTTAACTAAAACTTAATTAACATCACATACCTCGTTGGCTGCTTACGGAAGGATTTAACCTTTTTCTTAACCCTTTACTTAAAGTTCGATGCCGAGCACACAAACTGGTTCCAGCAGCAAGCGAACTGGATAAGTGAAAACGTGCTTTTCTTCTAAACGTGTCTCAAAAATCAATTCTGAATAAACAAACAATGCAGTTTACATGCTTCGTCCTTGTTGCATTTTTCATTAAGATAAATCTAAAATAATTTCTGTAGTTCAAACAACTTAGAATTGTAGTTGAGAACGTCTGTTACAACGGCTCACGTATTAAAAAATAGTCGGGTTTAAATCGGGCTCGGGCTCATAATTACAGTTAATGTGTCGGACCGGGTCGGGCTCGGACACAAGGTGCACGGGCTCGGGTAGGGTCGGGTTTAATTTTTTGGGCCCGATCTAAGCTCTAAGACAGACAGAGACAGACAGACACAGACACAGACACAGACACAGACAGGGACAGAGACAGACAGAGACAGAGACAGAGACAGACAGACACAGACACAGACAGGGACAGAGACAGACAGAGACAGAGACACAGACAGAGACACAGACAGATACAGACAGACAGAGACAGACACAGACAGACACAGACAGGGACAGGGACAGAGACAGAGACAGACAGAGACACAGACAGACAGAGACAGACACAGACAGGGACAGAGACAGACAGAGACAGAGACAGAGACAGAGACAGGCTGCAGTGCTCACGGGCAGGAGGCTCACATGGTGCTGGCTGATCATGTCACCCAGCAGGCAGCTGTTCTTCAGCCAGAGGGCTGTCATGTCCACGTCAGCGCTGTGCTTCTGTTTGGGGCCGTCGGGTTCATGGGCACAGTAATAACAGAGCATTAGAGAAAGAGCCACACGCCCCTGGCATAGCTCGTGGCATGGGCTGTACCTTGAGCGCCCCCTTCATGCCGTTGATGGCAGCGCTGCAGAGGGAGCTCGCCCGGGCCTGGTCCCCGGTGCAGTCTGCCTGCTGCAAGCACAGGAAGAGCACACTGGCCGGCAGGCCGGGGGGGAGGGACAGGGCGCAGTCCACTCGCAGGTCTGACGGGGGAAAGGTCCCGGAAGGGGCAGTTAATTCAACAATTAAAAATTTAACTAAGCCAATTCTCCTCCTTCCACAAGTCTGAATAAAGAGAGAGGACTGTTTGGGGATATTTTATCAGTTTTTTTGATTAAATCCAAATCTATATCTTTCTAAACCTCATTTATTGAATGCTTCTGTTCCACATGCCAAATTCAATCGAAAAAAATCGTACCTTCAGCAGTGGAGTATAAACTGTGGGCATGTCACAATACAATATGCATTCTTAAGAGCAAATAAGAGCCAGGCATTACATTTAAACCTTGTTCTGCATGTCACAAAGGCAGAACAGAATCAGCTTTGAAAAACACATCTCTGCTGTAAAAGCGGCGTGTGCATGTCTGTGTGAGTAGGAGCCAGACCCGTGATGAGGTTCCGGATCAGCTTCCCTTCGTCCCTCTTCCTGCACTCCAGCAAGCCTGTCACCTCCTGCTCCCTCCACCGGGGCGGACGCACCTCCTGCCCGAAAGGCAAGCCCGCGGCAGATGCTGGGAGGCGGTGGGAGATGAGGTAATGTTTAGTGTAAGTGGGCATGTTTGTCTGAATTTGTGTGTGTGTGTGTGTGGATTATGTTTATATTACATTGTGGGGACTAAATGTTTTTCTTATTTTTCAGGTCCCCACAAAGATCTGTGAATGCAATCAAAAAACTAAAAATGCCAACAGTCTTGTATTTTGTTTGGTTACTTATGGTTAAGGTCAGAGCTGTGTAGGGGTTAAGGTTGCCATGTTGGTATTAGAGCTCTCCCCATAGATATACAAAGGCGAAGAGGCCACCCAGGGGAGGGGAGGGGCCGGGTGCGGGGGGGTTGGGGGGGGCTGTTTTGACTTTCGGATGAGCATTCACGGGAAAACCACCTACAAATAGTTTAATGCAAACCCATAAAGCCTCATTAAATAAAAGCTTAAATTATATCCGTGTTTTTCAAAAGCTCAAAAAAATTCCATAGTGCATAGAATTCTCCATAAAACAGCAATCTTTATCTGTTTTTTTTTTAATGTAGCAGTTTTTATGACATATAACATTATATATCATAAAATATAGCTGTACATATGACATAATTATGTTTATGTGTGTCCATTCCTGCGTGCGTGTGTGTGTGCATGTGTGTGTTCGTGTGTGTGCATGTGCATTCACGTGTGCGGTGCGTGTGCATTCCTGTGTGCGTGTGTGTGTGCATTCACTTGTGCATGTGCATTCCCGTGTGCATGTGCATTCACGCATGTGTGTGTCTATATGTGTGTGTTCAGTACGTGCGTGTGCATTCCCGCGTGCGTGTGCATTTTTGTGCACGTGTCCGTGCTGCACACACCCGTCCTCATCAGCGCTTTCCTCAGAGTGCTGGTGCGTCTCAGGTCCCCGAGCTCCCGGCCCAGTCTGCGACACTCCTGCTGTCCAGCATCCACATGCTCTGCCAGTTCCTGAGTCGATGGGCACAGTACCGCTTAGGACCGGCCCGCACGCCGACCCGAGCAGCCGCCTCACTCAGCACCTTCTTTGGGCTCCAATCTTGCCCATTTATACAGATTAATATTTTTTATGTATTTTATGTTTATTATTTTCTCGCCATTTCACTAACCACCCTGCAGGCTTTCCTCACTCTGACACACAGATACTCCCTAGCGCCCCCCCTTCCCACATCCATTCCTCAGCTCACCGCATTTTCACTCAACAAAGCAGAAATAAAGTCCTGCAGCTCTGCGGGAAAGGGGCCACCGGGGGGCGCCAGAGTCTGCCGGGGACCTTCTACCCGCTGCCGGAGTGCAGACAGCTCCTCCCGCCACTGGGAGCGCTGTGAGATCAGCTGGGCCTCCAGGAACCTGGATAACGGAGAGCGGGGTGCTCTTTGAAAAATCAGCCCCCTACCCTGGAACAGGATCTCACACTTCAAGCCCTTAGCATGCACCCCCCCCCCCAAGACAAGACCCCAGAAAAAATCTGCATATGTAGCAGCCCCACCACGCTTAGATATCAAGGACTCTGTACTAAAGCACAATATTCAGGGGCAATTCTAGTATTTTTTAAGGTGGGGGTCACAAGAGAATCAAAATTCATATAGAGGGGCCAACCAATGATATGTTTCGAATCGGTGATTGACAGGGGTGGGGCCACTCTCGGGGCCAAACATCATTTGTCAAGATACCGGGATAAATATCAGCACGTCACAGCAGTGCTGCTCACAGTGACTCACTTGTTGGCCACACGAACAGCGTCGTAGGCCAGCTTGAGGTCCTCCCCCTGAATCCGCTCTGCTGCATCCTTAGGTACCTCCATGCTTCCCATCAAAGCGTCCTGACAAGCGACCGGACCACTCAGCAAGCCCAGCACTGAGGGAGGGCTCAGAACGGCCCCTGAGGAGGCCCCTCGCTTACCAGCGACGGGTCGTGGCTCCAGAGCCTCCTCTCACAAGAGGGCGACGTCACACTGACTCGCCGCTCATCTTCGGCCACGGGGAACGTTGGGGAGCAGGACAACGAGGAGGACGGCGGCGATGGTAGATCCAGCACCAGGCTCTGGCTGGAATCGCTGCGCTGACATCCCCTGGAACGCTGACATAACACAAAGCAACTCATTCATCAACGTGGCTTTCACACTGAAACACATAGGTGAGTCTAGACCCTATGTATGGGTGCCTCAGTCACACTACTGTTTGTCTCAGTCCCTCTGAAAAAAACATTTATTTAAAGCCATTTAGTAAACTTTCAGATATTTTTTCTTCACATTTCACACAGATTCTAAAAGGACCCTTCCCCATACTCTTCTAATTTTATTGTCAGGGACCCGGGGGGGGGGGGGCATCCCATGTTTCGTCAGATTGAATCTGGCAAGACCACCCTACAGGTCAAATCCTAAAATCTGCCTTGTTTGAATAGACCATTAAATGGCAGGTGACATAAGCTTTACAGCACTGGAAAAGCCCTTCACATAAATGAGCCCCCACACCATTACACAGAGTCCACTGCCCACACACCTCAGCCAGGACACTCATCTCACGCAGGTTCTCGTATCTCTGCTCCAGCCGGGTGAACTCCTTCAGCAGGCCTTGGTAGCGCCCCCTCTCTTCCTCCAGCTCCCCCCGGAGACCCTCGCTGGCCTCTGCGACACAGCGCGCCACCCGCTCTGGCGTGAACGAGCACGACGGCGAATAAGTAAACTGGTCATAAATGAACTGGATCGCTCAACAGGCCGTGTTGCGAATGGGCGGGCTGACGTATCCCTGCCAGCTGGAGATAAGGCAGGCCTCCGCGAGTCTCGCAGGAAGATGTGCTGACTCTCCTCTGCCCCAGGATGGCTCCTGTCACAATCAAAAAGTTCTAAAAACCGCTGCCCTGGCAGAAGATCTTCGCTGACGAGAGAAACGACTCCGCACCTGAGCGGGACCTTGCACACCAGAGAGGAAAGACCAGACGGCAGCACCCACCATCCTGCAGTGCTTCCTGGTCCAGCAAACGGGATCGCAGTGCTGCCCACTTGTCCTCCACAGCTTGCTTCTCCGCCTGTAGGCCCTGCACCTCCTGGAAGGGCCAGCAGTCAGGCCTGTGTGAGTCCTCTACTCTCCGGAGGTGACCCTCACAGGCAGCCGGAGTACCTGCGTGAGCCGAGACACCTCCTGCGCTGATCTCTCCTCTGCCCTCCGCCTCTCCTCCTCGTCCCTCAGGGATTCCGCCAGTGACTTGGGAGGCTGCTCCCGCAGCTGGGCCTCGACTTTCAGCAGCGCCCCCTTCAGGCGAGCCCGCTCCAGGGTGTGGGACTCCCTCTCTGCATGCAGTGCCTCTCGCAGAATGGCAGTCTCACGGGCCTAAATGGGGGGGGGGGGGTGATGACCGCTTACTGACCAGGCCCCTCCCACTGAAACGCATCACCACAGTCAGGCCCATACTCTCCCTACAATATCTCTGTATGGCCCCAGACCCCCGCGGACCCTTCCGGAAGGCGGCTGACCTGCTGGTCGGCTCGTAGCTGCAGCTGCATCAGCTTCACCTCCATGCCCTTGTTGAGCTCTCGGTAGCGCTCCACGGAGCGAGCCTCTGCCCGCAGCTTCAGCAATTCCCGCCGGGCAGCGCGGCGACGCACACAGCACTGCAGCAGCAGCACGGCCGCCAGAGTCCGTCTGTACGCACGGCGAGCCAGCCAGCCTCGCACTGCCGCCTGGAGGACCACTGACGCCCGCTGGGCCACCAGCTGGGGACCGGGCACACAGAGGACCAGCGTGTCACCATGGGACAGACACACAGCCACACCGCATCTGCTGCTCGGCGGAGCCGGGAAGTTCAGGTCCAGATAGTCAAAATCCAGACCAAGATTTTATTTCAACCAACCACTTAAGTTCTTTGTGGCTTTGACAATTTACACTCAACTGGATGGTTGAAATAAAATCTTGATCTGGATGTTTACTTTCTGGACCTGAACTTTCCACCACTGTTGCTCAGTCACTTCTCAGACCTTATTTTATATTTATAGCTAGCAGGGGCGCCGCTAGAGATTTTGGGCCCCATGAAAGCATATCATATTAGGCCCCCCAGTCCAAACCAATCCAGTTATTTTCCTAATTTTTTAGGGCCCCTGTCACTCAGGGGCCCTTGGAATCGTCCTAGCTTTCCTCCCCCTTACGGCGCCCCTGATAGCTAGATCTGGTGACAGTAGGACATCTGAAATCGACAGGAGGCGTCTCATTGGTGTGACACCGGCTTGGATCAGGTGTGACACCATTGCTGGCAGCCAGCAGGGGTGCTGTGGAGCTGCCTTGGGTTTGGGTGACCCCATTGGACCGGAAGGAGAGAGTGACTCTGCAGCCGTCACTTTCTGAGGGCGGCAAAAGCCAAGCGCCTTTAAATGATAAAAACATGGGTGTATCTTTGCTGGCTGAATGGGGAAATCAGCATCCCATCCGGGACCCTCACCATCCAGTACTGGCGGCGTGCCAGCGTGCCACGGATGAAGGCCTGGATGGTGATAGTGGCCTCCTGGATCAGCAGATAGATCCTCCTCACGGCCACCATGCGGAAGGTCTTCTGGATGAGCAGGGCGGCGCGAGTGCAGCGCAGAGTACGTGCCAACCTGGCATGCAGAGGAAATGCCTTTTTCACGTCACACTGCACATACCACACACAAAGACACACTGTACCACTTAATCAGAGGCGCTGTATTAATTAACAGCTCTGGAAGCAATTAAGCACTGCTAATTGATTATGGCTTGCCCTTTACCGATGAATGCTAAGATGTTAGCTTTAGTTAAAAGGTACCACACAAACAACAATACATTTTCAACAATATTAACCCAGTACAATACATATCATGGGTATATAACTATAGCATTGTGCATAAGTTTTATGTAGTTAAAGAAAACGATGTTTGAATCATCTTCATGCTGGTGTAAAACTTTGCTATCTGTCAAAGTATATTAGCTTAGGTATTTGCAGACCTCTCCTAAAATTACAGTGAATACCATTTTTTGCAGCAACGGTCCAGTACACCAATGTATTTTTTGACTTGATCGCTACCCCGTCTTGTTTGGCTAATCAATACCTCATTCAGTAACTAGTTAATTAATTAAGTGAGCTGGTGGAGAACATAAAGCGATCTTATTTTTTTATTGTGCTACTGTTAATTTGCATAGGTTCTAATGTTAAACTTTTTTTCTGAGCAAATATATACTTGCTACCCAAATAAACAGCCTTAAACATTTTCGTTGAGTGCCCACTACTCCTGCGCTGTACTATGAATTTACCCGTCCATCACAGAAACATCAAGTTTTTGAACTGCAAAGGAAAAATCCACAAATCGCAAGGAAAACATGCAAAGTCCACCCACAGAGAGCAGGCGCGGGATTCGAACCCATAACCCCAGAGGCTTCTGCGCTAGCCGCCGTCCCACCAGAAACACAGTTATTCAGTGCCACCGATATTTAAATATTCAGTAACATATGTTATCAGGCAGCAAACACGATGACATGGCCCATAACAGCGCACAGCAAAGAGCCAGGAATACAGAAGTATAGCGTCTCTCCCACGGTAAAATCTGCCTTTTACCTCCTGGCCAGGCCTCCCCTGGCATATCTCTGCAGGGTTAAAGCAGCCCAGCGGGTTCTCTGGTAGCGGCGCCGGGCCAGCCACCCGCGGACCCGGCTCTGGATGGTGACTCCGGCCTCCCGGAGCCTTTCTGCACGCAGCCTCTCCAACAGCGCCACCTGGCCGGCCCGGAAAAACACCTTGGTCTTTCCAAAGCAGTACTGATCCGGGTCAGGGATGAGGGCCGCCAAGGCCTGCTGGCACGAGGCCCGCAGCTCCTCCTGGTCCACCGTCCCATGGAATAGGAGGCGGTATCGGCTAAAGAACTCCAGATAGGTCCACCTGGCCGCCACGGAGCCGATTGAGATCAAGAAGGAAGCCACAATGCGATCAGCTAGCAGCACGAGCTAATCAGACCTATATTGGCCAATTTATAAATCTGCACATTTTTCATATTATACAGGTGAACACATCTAATTAAAATTCTCCTTTGACGTTAGATCAATACAAATACATAATCCACAGAATAAATTAGCCAAGCTAATTAGAAATTCTGAAAACAGCAGTTGGCGGATATTAAAATCTATTTCATTTACATGACACCGTCCTAACTCAAGTGGAAAAAATAAGTTGTTTTTTTATGACCTTGAAGGGAATCCAGCGGCGCTGATCCGTATGGTTTCCAAAACTCCACAAGCCCGCAGCTGCTGGACCGCCCTCTTCGGGTCGAACCTGCAAACAGACGACCCAAAAGTATCACACGCGTGAACGCAGCCTCGCCGGCACAGAGAAGGAGGTTCATAACTCACGCAAAGGGCTCTTTGAGGTCGTTGGGCTTGATGCAGCGGACATAGTGGGGGTTTGTGGAGTTCAGGGTCTCCATCAGAAGCTGCAGGGACTGACGGAACTGAGAGCAAGATGGGAGAAAGACGGAAACATTTAAATTGCAATCGATGGCAAAATAATCTAACATTTCCTATGGGATCTATGCATGTCTATGCATGTATATATGTATGTATGTATCAATCAATCAATTGTCTATCTATCTATCTATCTATCTATCTATCCATTCGTCCATCCATCCATAATTGCATGCATTTCATTACTATTACTGTAATACCAAAGTGTTTCATTCAAGGATACTGCTAATCTGTCATTAAAGACTGACCAAAAGACTTACTAAAGAACAAATTGCTATTTTGAGCTTCCTCCTTATTCAAAATATATTTTTGCCATTATTTACCATTTTAAAATTATTTTTATATGAAATAACAGAAATGACTCCACTCCAAAAGTGGAACATCCAGGATTCATACTGCATCAGAAGCAGGAAGTTGCAATGAAAAGGTTTACCTGGAACCCTACTGTTTGCTTGTGCTCCCTGTGAGCCCTCTTTTCAGAGTGTAGGCTCCCATTGGGAACGCTGGGTTTCGAGGAGGAGAGAACTCCCCCTGCTGGTTCCTTCAGAAAGAGCTCTGCCACCAGCTCAGACTGTAGCAGACAGAGCTCAGTTAGGTGCAGGCCAAGAACTCAGGGGTTACTGTCTGTATTCCAGCCTCTAAGCACTTAGAACTCCAGAACATCAAGAAGTTCAGGTGATATAGGTTTACCTGACTAGCTCTCAAGATGTTGATAGGTTCTTCAAATATCGTATCTCGGTTTTTATCCAAAAACCCATCGCACTCGTACCGAACCTTAAGACACGGAAAGACACAGGTCATGCAGAGATTCATTTTTTGGATCCACCCGTGAAAATTCTGGTATGTGAACATGTGTGTCATCTTTGTATTAAATTCATGTTCTTCATGTCCCAGGGGGTCTCTGTGAAAAGCAGAGCAGTATGAGAGTCAAGGTGGGGGCTCACCGTGTCAGCAAAGTGAAAGATGATGAAAGCCAAGTTGGACATTCGCGGCTTGCCAAAGTGTGGGCTGTGGTTCTGGTGCTGATCGTACAGCTTCCGAGCCCAGTTTTCATCCGAGCCTTTGGGCATCTACCAGCAAGCAGGGCAAGCCAAGGGAGAAAAGGAGGGCAGGCACGGGTCACAAGCCGCCCGGTATACCAGCAGCTCATTCGCAGCCCTAGTCACATGACACGGGTGACTAGCAGTCAGAGACAAATTACTGAATCATATGTGGCCCGGAGCTACCAAGAAACTTTCACTGTGTGCCCAGCTTGCAGAAGAACAATAACGACCCGCTTCAGTTCTCTGAATCCATTCTGATTGCAAGACTTTTTTTCAAATGACTCTGATTGCGCCGTCCTCCCTGATGTGGGATTTGATAAACTGGATGCAATTATTTCTGTCACTGTCTGTCCTTATCAACTCTTAATGATGTGAACTGAATCATCTTCCAGTTGTTCTTTATCCTTGTTGAATGGGAACATTTCAGAGGTAAATAAATAATAACAGCAAACATCCAGGCTGTTTAGTATAATCCCATAACAGCTCACGTTGTTTGTAAGTGATATACTTTATATTAACTGCACCTTCATAATGCCTTTATAATGCATTCGTAAAACATTCATTGCACCTTCATTATGCATTCATAGAACATTCATAAGCAGCATGTAAGTATACCTTAACATCCTAACATACCCTAACAACTTTAATATACATTAATAACAAACGTACTTGTCCATTTTGTCTGAACTATTTAAAATGAACTTGTGCATTAAGTTTTATGGTGCTGAATTCCCTCTTTTCAACCTTTGAACACCTTCCCCTCAAAAAGTCTCTGCACAGCTCGGAAGCCAACATCCTAATCAATGCTACAGACACCCATCGGCCGTCATTCTCTAGTGTAAGTACTTGTGTGCTGTGTCCACGTGGGAATGAGGGGTCTCACCCTACACTCCTCATCCAACAGATCCAGAAGCCCTAGGGTCCCCTCGATCAGAGTGATACACGGCTGGTTGTCACTGAACTCGATTCTGCTCCAGGGAAGCCCCTCCCTCTCATATTCCTCCTGCTCCAGCTGGAAGACGTGCTGAGAGGGAGGAGACAGGAGCGCCGGCGAGACAATTACGGGACGGGGGCGGCCAGAATAGGCTTTACATAACGCCGGCTGATGGGGGCCATCGGCACGTACACATTATCACGCAGAGAGACTCCCACCGAGACTTACCAGGTTGAACTGCTGCTGCAGTTTCTCATTAGCATAGTTTATGCAGAACTGCTCAAAGCTGTTCCTGGCGAACGTCTCAAACCTGCCACATTAAGTCAGACAGCAGAGATGACAGCATGTGGCTGCCGGCAGTCTTCCCTGGCATTCCGAGCGCTGACTTTAATCTCGGCGATATCAAGAAAAGGATATAACAAAGATCATTTTGTTTCACATAACTATCACTGTCAAAATGCTAATGTTTCCCCAATGTCTAAATAATATATAGGGCAGAAAAATTGTGGATACTGCATAATGGAGCACATTAACTTCTCAGTTGAGAAATGGTAATTTAATAAATAATAAGGCAAGGAGTACATATATAAAGAATAAAAAGTAATAAAGACAGAAGCATAATGCCACGCTGTCTGCCCACCCGTAGATGTCGAGGACACCGATGAACGAATCGGGCTTCTCTTTTTTTGCCCGTAGAGCCACATTTAGCCGACTGACGGTCCAGGAGAACAGCTGCCCATACACATGCTTGGCCAGGGCATCTCGCGCGTCTCCGGCCTGCTGACCCGACATGGGCTTCACCAACATCTCCCCGCCCACAGCGAGCCGCCGGTTGCACAGCCAGTGAGCCATCTGAGCGCGGTCTACCCCCAGCAGCTTACAGAACGCGAGCAAAGAAGGGTCCTCAGCCTATAACAGATGGATCTACAGGTTAGGAAAACATTGTGATATGATGGATGGACACAGATATCGCAGCACCCCCTAGTGGTCTTCAAGAGTCATGGCATAGGGCGGTGTGCATATAGTATAGTTAAGGCCCGCCTTCACAAAAGCCTGGATATTGACAAGATACAAAGAAAAAATTTTATAGAAAAAAAAAGAGGCTTCCTTGCATTGACGTAGCTTCGATCGCCGCCTCTCCCGCTGGCTTGGATGCTGATGTTTCCTAAATGCAGGACGGCGGACAGAATTCGAAATACCTCCATCTGTTGGTCAGAGCGAATACCTGGACGCACAGAGCAAACGCCATGAAACCATCAATCAGAGAAGTCCACCGAAGATGTGACTTTACAGGGAGGGTTTCAAAAATCCTTACCCAGAACGGCGAGCGCGTTGCGAACCCGCTCAAGGTCAGCGAGGTCGTCTGTGCCCGGAATCTGAGTGCTCCCTCCTTGATTTGTGTAGCGGAAGCATTCAGCTGCCTCTGCAAGACAAGAACATGACAAAACACTCAAGCGAAGGCCATGCGGTGCCCCCTCTGTACTGTACCAACAGTACCATCATGTGTACTGGCTCTGATCAGCGTCTGCCACAGCTGAAGACAGGGATATACTTAAGACAGAGCCAAGAATCACCCAGTTTCAGCGTTCTCATCTCTGGGAACTTCCTGGCTGCACACAGCTGGTAGAAGATGTGGTAATTCCTCTCCTCTTGGGCCTAGAGACAAAACAGGCTTTTAATCAACATTTTGACATGCAACACATTTTTAAATGAATCAAATATGATCGGCATACAAAAAGTGGTCAAGACCATATTCACAAACAGTTCTAAAGAGGTATATTTAAGACTTACTGAAGATGAGTTTAACAACCGCACACTATACATAATATCAGATTACAGATATAGCTGATTAAACGTATTTAGTCATTAAATGCTAAGTAATTTAATTGGATGCATAGTGAACCGTCGATATACAGGCACCTGGAAGACAACTCTGGATTTCTCCAAAAGGTAGGTCCTCATGTTTGCCCCAATAATGTCCCCATGGTTTCCAAAACCAATCTCGATGTACTTTCCGAAACGGCTGCTGTTGTCATTACGGGTAGTCTTGGCATTTCCAATGGCCTATTTAAATGACAAAAAAGCAACTATACTTTTCATTAATTCAGGGGTTTCAGCAGAAAAACAACAATAATGTGAGCTACCTCTATTCCAGGGCTAACTTTAGCTGAGTTTGAGAAGCCAGAATGAAACGGAGCCTTTATGTCTCAGCAGACGACACCCACAAGCAGCCACATGTACAACACGCGTCTCAAACACACCCCCTATACCTCCATAATGGGGTTGGAAGCCAGGACCTTCTCCTCCACACTGGTCTGCTGGGCTGCGCCCCCCACCACGGCAAAGTAGCGCATGGTGAACTTCGCCGAAACTGTCTTCCCAGAGCCAGATTCCCCACTGATTATAATGGACTGGTTCTTCTTTTCTCTGGAAACAGTGACAGGAAACCATCCATCTTCAAGTGTGTGCCTTGCATCCCGTGTAAACTTAAGTTCTCCAGTAAAGAGCAGCTTGCATTTCAGCCACATCTTCATATGAGCCAAAAAGTGTAGGAAAGTCATTTAATGCAATAGCAGTGTGACTGCATTCACAATAAGCATGTGAACCACACAGGGTAACATTTCACAGCTACACATAGGTAGTACCTGTTTTATTCCCTTGGCCCTGCAAGTTTTATAAATCACACCAAAGCACATACTTTTACCTCCTCAAATAATATGACAATGAGGTCAAGCCAACGCAGATCATGATGGGGCTGTGTAACAGACATTGGCAGGGGCATGACAGGGAGCGATGTCCCTCCAATAGGTGCCCATGTAGAGCCACAGGCCACCAGAGGTGGAGATTTCAGGTCCAGAAAGTACAAACCCAGACCAGGATTTTGTTTCAACCAACCAGTTGAGTACTCTGTAACTGTGACTCTTCATGCTCAACTGGTTGGTTGAAACAAAATCCTGGTCTGGAGTTGTACTTTCTGGACCTGAAATCTCAACCTCTACAGACCACAGACGCCCCCTCAGCCCTGACCTGATCATGGCCCTGTACGCTTCCTCAGCCACAGAGAAGATATGCGGCTCCATGCCGGCTATATCCTGGCCACTGTAGGCGTCGATCACCTCCTCGCCATAAATGGGAAGCTGCTCATAGGGATTGATGGCCACCAGGACAATTCCTATAAGGGACAAGAGGTCCAGCTGACAAGATCTTAGTGCAAAGAATGCAGGTCATGGTAATTTCATTATTAGGCACAGCACGTGGATAAACAGCTACTGTTAGCATTTAGCTAACATGCATAGAAATATGTGGAGAAAAAATCACTTGAGGTTTTTTCACTTATTATTGAGCCAGATATTACAAAGCATAACATTACAGCAAGCACTGGGCTAACCAGACAACAGCACAATTAAATATGATGAGTTATAGCACAAACAGGTGTTTTATTCAAGACTTTACCATATTTGAGTTTCTTATATCAAGAAAAGACAATCTCCATCTCCATTCAGAAAAATGATTCTGGACAGGAGTTTCAGGACATGTCAGCTGTGGTCTTTGGTTAATAAGTAGGCAGCCATCCACAAAAGACTTGTTACAAATCGGAATGTTGTCTCCTTACTGAACTTTACACTCAATGAAAACTAAGGCCCTGACAAAATGAGGTTTAGAAGCAGAGATCATGTGACCTTTAACACCAACTCGCCATTGGCTCAAGCAGTCCTATCCACATCTGTGCTTCTCCGGGTTTCTCAGACTCTCTCACCACAATAGGTGTAGATGTTGTTGTAGTCAAGGAACCGCACGCGCAGGTTGTGCAATACAGCCGGTTCATGGAGGAAGCTGAGGCAGGTGAGGTCATTCTCCCCCTCCAGGATTTCAGGGTTACCCAGCGGAGGGAGATCAGATGGCGATGCCACAGAATGCCGCACTTCCTGGGGAGCGAAAGGGATGTTTATGAAATGTCTGCAATGACAGAGAATCTTCATAACCCATATTATGCACCTTAATACAGGCAGTCCCTGAGTTATAGACAACTCACTGCAACAGAGCTTATTATATTAATAATTTGCGTTAAATACATAGTATTCATAGTAACGTAGGCTCGCGCTGCTTTGTGACACTCGTGAAAAGGTTGCGCGTCTTCAGCGGTTTGCCGGCTGAGGTACAGTACAGTGCTCTACGACATAACTTTTATTATTACTGTGTCGTTATTATGTATCGTGATATTATTTATCCAACTTACCAACAAATCTGACTTAAAGACAGGCTTCGGGAATGTATCTCGTTCCTAACTCAGAAGAAATCTGACAGACGGGCCCAAGATTTTTAGACAGAATAGCAGTAGACAACATATATTACATGATTTCCACTATAGCATTCTGTCTGCCACCTGAGGACCTGAAGATCACGATGATCCCATATTGCTTTTCGGGTTTCTCCCTTGCGTACAGAGATTTCTCCAGATTCTCTGAATCTTTTAATGATATTATATACCGTGGAAGATGGAATTCTCAAATTCTTTGCAATATTACATTGAGGAACATGTCATGCTTCGAGCAGCCTGTTGTGATCGTCCTAGCAGTGCACTTCACACCACTTAATGCTTCCCATTCTTTTTGAAGGTCATTTGAGGTCGTCTTCCAATTTATGAGGCACTGCCGGATAAGTTGACGTTCATCTCTGGCATTAGAAAGTTGCTTCTGCCCTCTACCTGGCTGGTGTTTGGTTATTCCCAGTGTCTCCTGCTTCACCTTGTTCTTGTTTACTGCTGTCTTAGAAACTTTGAGCCTGGAAGCAGCCTGACATGCAGTGTAGCCTCTGCCAGCAGAACCAGGATTTAAAAATGCACATTTAAAAAAAATATATAGTGGTCTCAATTTTTTTACAGGGCTGTATGGGATTTGCAAATCATTGCATTCATTTTTATTTACATTTTACATAGCATCCCTAACCCAAATACTTCAAATTTTGATGCGTCAGTCCATAAAACTGACTTTAATAGAGAGATGCATAAACTTCACAACACAGACAAGTATCATTTCAAGCAGGGGAAGTCTAACTATTGACTGGTTCTGATGTATCAGCAGAACAGCTAATAGCAGATGTTATACATGATAACGCCTGACACGGTTATTCTGTGTTTGCCAGTGAGATCTGCCTGCGAAATGCAGTAGGTGCAGTTACAGTGGGAGTGGAGACGCACGCAGTGGCAAGGATGAGCACACAGTAGCTGAGCTGTTATCAGTGACGACGTCGCCGCCTCACCCTGCCGTCACTGAGCTGCAGCAGGAGGTGTCCGGCTTCCAGCTGGAGGTCCTGTAGAAGTTGGCCAGAAATCCACACTGCATCTGGGTCCGGTAACCAGACGCACGCCCCCTGTCATATACACACGTAAATGCACGGTCACACGTAAAGTAATCAATCCATCGTCCGACATCTCATCCGGCAGTGCAAGGCGGAATAAACCCTGGAAGCCTTATTGGTAAAGCCAAAATGCAAAAGTGTGAATACATTGTGTGGTGCAGTACAACTTAACCCCGACTCGCTTGTTTCCTTGACTATTCTCACATGCCCAGTACATACCTCATCCTCACCCCGACTGCAGGTTTACCTCTCATCAGCATAAAAGTTCATCTTCCTGGTTAAAAATTAACATTAATCACCTCCATTTGCGCTCTGACAGCTGAGATTACTCATTATTCCCAGTATAACACAGTCTTCTCCTCCCAGTAATGGGCAGTTTACTTCAGCCATCAAATCCGACATTTTGATCCATACAGAAAATCAAACGAAGGCGCTCTTCTGATCAAAAGACAGGAATCAGCCAGCAGGTACTGCCTAGCCTTCGGATATCAAAGTCATGGAAAGTTCTAGAATTTCGCCTGCAGTATAACTCTCTGCTCAGTAGACCTATTCCACTTTCTGCTGCAGTTTTCATGTACCTATTATGTCTGTGAACACAATCACTACAAATCAACAGAAACTGAAAAGCAGATACCTGAGAATTATTGTGATATAATTATTGTGATATATATAATTTTGTTTGAAAAGCCTTGACACACTAGCAAAAACAAAAAAACAACATTAACGTTAGCTAACAGTTTTAAATATGAATCATTACTGAAATTCATGTCAGTTGCAACGTTTAAATCTGCCAATACCTAGCTAACAAGAAAGCACACAAGCCATTGTTCATAAAGGAAATTACAAAGACATCATAATAAATGGATATTCAAGTCGAATTTAGGGTAAATAAGATTCCTGCCTCACCCCTACCTTGGTGTACAGGTCAGTGGCGGCCATAATCTTCTGGATCAACCTGACTGCTTTGGGATGTCTCCCTAGAGAGTTCGAGAAAGAACACGGAGCGCGGAGTGGAAGACGGCAGGTCAGAACATTGATACTACAAATCTATGTATCTTGAGATGATCGTCCCCATTCACCGGTCCGCTATCCCTGCCTCTCCAGCGGAGGAGTCACCCTGGTGCACTTTGAACTAGGAAAGACACAAGAGGAACCTTGACAGCCAAGTTAACAGTTAATCTGTAGGTGAAAAGCGGTGAGCAAGAAGCCTGCTGGAAGCTTCCAGGCTCTTCGTGCATTAGCTTCTCCAAAAAATGTGTTTGGCTTAGAGGTAGAGTGATGGGTAGAGTTCAAATTGGACCTCAGAGACAAATCTTAACCTACGTTGCAGGACACTTCTTAATTACCTTGCTAATTAACTACAAGTTCGTGGCTTTAATTACTCATTCATGAGTGACCACAGCACAGCTACTACCCCGACTCATCAATGAGAGATGATCTTGAGATTCAGCGAGTAAATACCCCGGACACAGATTCTTATGGGACGAGACCAATGAAGCAGCTTAAATGAATAAAACCTGCACTGTTGTGTTCTAGTATCTGCACATTCATTACGGTGGCATTTGACAGAAGGGAATAAAACTCCCTTTGTCTTATCTCGCCTTTTACCCCTCAAAATTTCGAAGGAATCGTTGAATTACTAAGGTCATTGGATCATTCAATAGCAAGGTCCTCGAGTCAAATTCTCAGCGCTCATTCAGGTAACTTTGAAAGTTTTATGTCTTTGGAAGCACGACCGGAGAGGGCTGGTAGTGTGTGTGGGAGGGGGGAGGTTCTCTCTGCAGGAATGAGTTTACTGCTCTATCTGCACTGACTGCCTCTTCCAAATCAATTCAACTTTTTTTTATGTCGACCTTCCCACAGGCCTCACAAAGCGCTTCACAGAGATTTAACAAGAAGAGCATCGCAGGTAAACGTTATACTCCAGTGTTCTGCAGAGTCTGCGCCCTTCTGAAACTACATCAAATATTGTCACGAGTCAGGGGCACGCAAAAGTCACCAGCCGTGCACACACCTGGCATTGTGCACGTGCTGAGATGAGGACATGTTATTTACAAGCACTTGAACTTCCTTCCTCTTTTTGGTGCTATTCAACAGACCATTGCACGTGCAAAATATTAACCTTATTTACTTCCTTTGATCACAAGGGAATATTAACCTTTCGTACTTTACTTCAATAGCCTTCTAAAGAACTTCTACTTCATTAAAACCTTCAACTGCCACAGATCTCCTCCCATGTTTCCATTAATCGAACATATGAGAAAAACAATTGTCTTTAAAAAAATTCAGACCTGTAAGAGAAATGTATTTCCTTTAAGTAAACCCACTGATCATCAGCAAAAAAAAAACGTTCAGCACCGATTCTTTTAAAGGTACCTCTAAAGTATGCCAGTGTTAGCTTCGTATTACGGTAGGAAGAGTTAGAGGTCTGTTAATTTCTCACCTGTGCCGCGTGTCGATGGTCAGAAATTGGTACCTCCTTGGAATCTCAGGACTTTCACTGAGGGATTTTGCAGCACATAGCAAGGACCACACACCCATTATGGGCTGTAACTTTCATTTTGCCGTTGGGTTTTCTAAACACACCCTTGTGGGAAAAAAATCTCCTAAGGGTCAGTAATTGCTACAGTCTAAAGCACAGGTGTCAGACTCCAGTCCTGGGGGGCCGGAGCCCTGCACATTTTTGGGTTTCCCCTCATTTAACACACCTGATTCAACTTCTTGTGCTAATTACCACATAGCAGTTGAGCTGAATCATTTGTGGTGGAACAGGGAAAGAACTAAGCTACACAGGGCTCTGGCCCCCCAGGACTGCAGTTTGACACCCCTGGTCTAAAGAAATATGTCTATGGAGAGCTGTGGGTGCAAAGAGCTTTATTAGTACTATGGCCATTGACCTGCATCATAGATGAATATTTAGTAAATCAGTGTTGTGTGAAGTCAGACCCATATGATTAACTGAAATGCATGTTTGGCCCTTGGGGCATTTTGGGGAAGAACGACCCTATTATGAGGCTACATATGCGAGGGAGAAGGGGCTCTGATGATGGCAGTGGAGAATTCTCCGGAAACCATGTCTTTGTTTATTTTAGGGCCACATTTAATGTCCTGCTGGGTCTTACACAAAACAGCTGTAGCTGAACGATATTAGAAAATATTCTGTGCAGACCAGTAGCACTGAGCCTTCAGGATATCTTGTTAGAACTCAATTTGACTTCAGTAAGATGTGAACATTCTTGACAAAACTTGGTGATTAGATGACCCATGTACCTTGTCGGATTTAAGGTGGTCCGGGCAAAATGTAAGTGAACGAATATGAAGTGCAATTAAACTGCGGTACCTTAAATCCGACAAGTTACCCCGATAAGCCAGTAACCCTGCTTCGTAGTACAGGCCACTGGAGTCCCAGGGCTCAAGGCTGGGGTACACAGGGCACAGGACTGCCAGCCTATCACACGGCACAGGACTGCCAGCCTATCACAGGCTACAGCAGTGCTAGCATCTGAACCAATCTCCTGTCTTGCCGATCATATGTGAATTAAACTATCCAAATAATTTTGCAGATGTGTGGTACAGTAACATCCTTATTTCGTTCAGCCGTATGCAAAGACTCCCTTATTATGAACGCAGAGATGGTCCTGCTGTACTGTGTGTCACAAGCCAGACATCACTAACTTCCGCAGCTGTGAATCATACTGAGATAGCAGTTAGCTAAAACGGCATGGATGCTGCCCCCCCCCACCCCCGCCAAACTGGCTGCTTGAAGTAATGCACAATGACACAAGATACCATTTACAGTAAAAAAACAGAAACAAAAAACATTTATTAAAGAACCATAAAAAATAAAACTCTTGATACAATCTCTCATAACCATTAAGTCAGTTCAGATATATATGTACTATATAGAAGTACTTCCCTTTAAGGTTAAAAGGTCCATAAACTTTAAAATAAAATATATATCAATGTAAAACTCTACTCAATAAAATTGCCATCTGTCATAAATTGCCTACAATTAAAGAAAAAAAGTTTTTTTTTCTCAAAAAAAAAAAAGGTCACATGATCAGGGACATTTAGGTCATAAGCAAATACGAAAAAAAAAAAAGACAATCGTATTGGCTATCGGCCAATTAATTCAAGGCATGCAGATTGTGAACAAATAAAGAGTCCACATTGGTTCTTGAATAATGCAACACTGCTAAAGAAGTGACCAAAATACAGAATGGAAGAGACAAGTGGGCAGTTCGAGAGGGAGGTGGGCAGTGAAGATGGCCGTCCTCCCCGTGTAACAGTTCACTGTTCCCACAATGCACCTAGGAACAAATTTCTGATTGGATCGTACCTTTCACATAGCCGATGTACATTTTGCAGGCTGCCGCCTGGGGATCCCCGTTTACGTACCCATCGTTTGCACCATAGTGCGCTTTGTACAGCTCCTGTTGACCTTAAACGAGGTAATCCAGAGGTAATCTTAGGCATCACCTACCATCCACGACCAAAAAAAAACAAAACAAAAACATTCACCAGCAGCATCCCAGACTGGAAAGAAAACAGAAATGCTTTAAAGAAACACTTATGTGTCACCACAGGCAGTCATAAGATCATGTCTCTCTGCGCCTTAATACATTTTATTAAAGGAAAGATCCAAGAAAAATATTAAAAAAAAAAAAAAAAAAATCTGGTTCATGACATTAATGCCACTTAAACACGTGCATTCAGCTCAAACGATCACACACCAACACCGAACCCTAACGTTGATACTCCCAACACTTTGGGAGTGAGCTGATCTTTGTTATGGTCAATGGAACAAACTAACAATTAACAAAAGCCGCAGCAGTACGTCAAGCACCTGGAAGCTCTGCATCTTGAGTAGCTGCCGCTGATGCGGTTTATTCCTACAAGACGACGCTGCTGACAGTGTGCTGAAAAGACGGTAAACAGTGAAATATATCAGTCAGTGTTTGTAGACCCTTCTTACATGAGTGATTTATGGCTTCTCGCATCTCCTGGGTGTCTATGCTATTTGCATTTAGGGGCTAATCCCAGCAATTCATTTTTTATACACTGAGAATTAAACAAATACCTAGTTTGGGAAGAGAGGGACTTTATAAAAATGGAAGACCGCCATTTGGGGCATAAGGAGGGGAAATAAAATTAAAATCCACACATACGGAGAGGATGCCAAACACCTGCCACTGTATATTGCTATTAAAAATGCCAACAAAATGACATATTTACTTGAACTCAGTGGCAGAAAGTGTAGTGGCTTTGAATAAAAGGAAAACTACGACACAGTCCATTGAAAAGGACACTGGTGTGTTTACCGATCACCAAACCGTCTTCCACAGTCATGTGATAAAGTGCCACGACTCTTCAGATGCTCTCCAAACATTAGTGTGAGACCAGACCCCGCAGCCACAAAGCACAGCCATCATACAGATAAAAACAACCATATATCTTACAGGCTCCTTAACAGATATTTACATGCTGGCAGGTCTGGCTTTGGAAAACCATTTAAACCAGACACAACAGTTAGCAACCAGTTTTGACTGGAGACCGGAAAGTGTCACAGTCAACCTGCAGCGGGATCCGGGTGGTCGCATGGATTTTGGTTTCATTATTATAAAACAAAACCCACAAGAAAGTAGGAGAATCACAAAATTGTCTGAAATTCTTTCTATAAGCTTCTATAAAAATTGGAAAAATAATAGCGGAGAAAAGGGTTTAAAAAAACACAATCAGCCATTGAAAAGATATCTTAGGTCTCTCAGTCTTAGTTTTCAAGTAAAATCTCCCGATTAAAAGAATATGAGTTCGCAGTAATTATGCATAAATATATTGTCGTTAAAGTATTCTCTTATCAACACCTACACACAAAGAAAAAATATGATTATCCATCTGTATTTCCGATCAGTCACTTCGCTATCCTATAAATTTAAGCATTATCGCGACACACGCACACAGAAATATCAAAGCCTAAAACTACACCAGAGCACGAAACTTCACAGATAACTGGCAATGAAAAACTGCAACGCGAGGACACTGAACTCCCACAACCGCAGTGACCTCGCAACAATTGTCATCATTCAAGGAAAAAAAGTTTAAATGCAGGATAAAAATCGTTTAAAAATATCTAGCCCCTTATATGAATTATATTCTCTTTAAAAATACATTTAAAAAGTGCACCAGGTCCTTGCAGCTAAATAACTTAAGTAGCAAAACAACGGAATCCTTACATTTACGCAGTAATTGCTTTTAACAATTAAAAAGTATACAAAGTTAAAACAAACTGCATTAATAAGCTTAACTCCTGAAGATAGATAAGACACTGTATTTTTTTCCCCTAACTCCAGAACGGAACCTGCAGTGATGGACAGTAGTCATGTGATCCAGTAAGCAATGTCTCCCTTTCCAAACGACACATATGCTGAACGTATACTGCCTCGTCCACTGAAATCACTCTGAGTGTTGTGACTAATGCATCTGCTGTCTGTTTCTGAGCATACATTGTCATCGGGATTCAACGAAACGACTGGATCTCCGCCTCCGGTGACACACCGTCCACTCCCGATTTCTGGCTGCGATTTACGGGACATCAGGAGAAGATTCGGATGCACTGCGTGGCGGGCGTGTGGCACACAGGGCACCTGGGCTCGCCCGATTGGCAGATCTGGCCAGCGCAGTCCATGCAGAAGAGTTTATGGCCGCAGGGCACTAGGGCAGCAGTCACCTCGCTCTCGTAGCACACCAAGCAGTCCTTGGACGCCTCTGCAGGACCCACGGCAAGGGCGCCGGCCTTAAAGTGACCCAGCATCCCCGAGGTGCCGACCCCCCCCTCTAGCTCAGTGGGAGAACCCCCAGGCAGAGAGGAGGCGGAGCAGGATGACGAGTAGCCGGTGCTGCTGCCCCCACTGCTGCTGCTGCTGCTTGCAGAGAAGGATGCGTTACCGGCCTGCAACCAGGAGAGGGTGCTGAGGGGGTCACTCTGGGCCCGTCGGGCTAGGGGGTGATCCAGGCCGGCCTGGTCCGCAGACAGGGTGGGTGACAGGCGCGGGGTGACGGTGCCACCACTCAGGCCGCTGCTGTTGCGCCGCTGCGACCCATTCAGTAAGGGTCTCCAGATGTGGGCAGCGCCAAACTCGAATGCCAGCTCCTCTGCCGGTGCGGTGGGGAGGCCGGGCGCCGACTCCCCGCCGAAGGTGAAACCACCGCCGCCGCCGCCGCCGACGGCACTGAAGGGACTCCCAGGGCCGCTGGCGCTCTCAGGTGCCCGGCGTGTTCCGGAATACGACTCGGAGCCCAGGCTGCCGCCGCCGGAGAAGGACGCGGGTGTCACCTTCCTGGTGGGGTGGTGTAGCGAGAGGGGGGCGGACGGCGAGGCGGGGTGGCTGGCCCTGGACCACAGAGCGCCACCCAGGCCCATGGCACCCAGCCCTTCCAGGCTGACGTCTGTGCCATTGCTGTGGAAGTCGTTGTCCCCCTGCAGGTCCACGAAAGCCCCAGTGCGCAGCGTGATGTGGGTCTCGATCTCCTCCCGCGCCCGGTCCACGTTCTCGGGCATGCCCGTCACCTCAAACACGGGATCTTTGTCACGGCTCGGGGTCACGATGTAGGTATGAGTCTGCTGCTGGATGCGCTTGATGGTAGCCCCCTTGGGCCCGACGACTAGACCCACCACACGGTATGGCACCCGCACTTGGATGGTGGTCTGTCCCGGCAGATGGGGGGGTCCCGGTACGGCTCCGGCAGAAGAGCCGGCCCCGGCCTTACAGCGCGAAGCTCGGATCATGGAGAAGTGTTCGGCGGCAGACAGGATTTCCCGTTTGGCCATCTCTACGTCTTCACGCCGCCCAGTCACAATAAACACTGGCTGCTCTCCTCGCACTGGGGTCTTGATGTAGGTGTTGGTCTTTGTACGCAGAGCTTTAATCTTACAACCTGGTTTAAAAAAAAAGGAAAGACAGACAGAGGACTCATGTATAATTCCAGTTAATAACAGGTGAATCTATACACAAACATGGGACATTATTAAGCTCAATGGATGTGCATTAAAAAGGTGCAATTAAGTATGCTGAGAATTACGCATTAGACCGGTGTAGTTAATCTACCCGAGAATCGTCTGGAAGGAAGTAAATAAAAGGCTATCAGGCTTTCCGTTTTAATAATAACATTGTCAACACATCTTAACTATGCAGACCCGCATAAAGTAACAATACTGCAGCCAATACACACTCGCAGAATACACTGTCGTACGCCTTTAAAAAGGGGTGGGGCTTAAGATACAACCAATGGCGTGCAGAGTGTGTGATGTCATTCCAGGAGCCAGAAAGCATGGCATCTTCAAACAAAGGGAACAATGAATTCCCTCTCTTACAGAGAACCGTTTATCTCAAAATCTAGTCAGCGTAAGGTTTACCTTCTCCGACTGACTGAAAATGCATTTTCCTACACGCACTTTAGACAGTAAAGGGACAGATCCGCGTCCGCAGTCTCAGCCCGTTGAGCGCGCATTGATCGTCCCAGGCTGCTGTTCAGCTGCTGCATACAATCAATTATTAATAAACGAATAAGTGTTTACCAATAACTTGTTTTCGAATAGATCTGCAATGCCTCCTTTAAATAGGTGATACGGACAGCCACGCCTGCTCGGGCAAACACCGAGGCTCCACAACAGCCTATATCCTTTGTTTACGAGGGCTGGAGTTCCGCAGACATGCCCAGACTCCGACAAGCTGTCGCTTTGTCTGACTGTCTGCGCCCCTCCCCCTCTCCCCACTACCGCGGCAGCCAACCGCTCCTAAACGGGCACTTTTTAAGCCACTCGCCCGAAGAATAATGCACCCCTGCATCAATAAACTCGGCCGATCGCGCTGTCGATCTGGTACAAGACGCAGGACAAGTTCCCCCATCGCCGGACCCAGATGCTGTCAGGCCGCGGTGAATAAGCAGCCAAACTTTTGACCGCCGCAAGACAGTCGCACCCAACTGCAATAGTCCTGAAAACAAAGGCTTCCAAACTACTGCTTTTTTTTACCGGCATTAACCCAAATGACAGAAACTACTTAACTGACAACTGGGCTATACTACAGCCGTAGTTTTTAAAGTTTTAACCTGAAGTTACTACTTCCCCTAATGCTTATTTGGCTTAAGGACATGACCGACATGCAGCCACGATACACAGCCGTAACTAATAAACAGCAGACGTGATAATATTGTGGTTATTTAACGTTGTTGTAGTGGCTTTGCAGAAGCGCTTCCCCAGACACAGGGAACATCTGCAGAGCATTAACGGCATGCGTCTAAATAGCACAAATGATTTTCACAATACAAAATACTATATTTCGTGACTACAGAGCCACTGTGCGCGTAGAGTCTATCCCCAATTACAAAAGAACGGCGGACATTAAACTGTTCCTACCTTGTCTTCCCACGATTTCTGCAACGTGCTCCGAACTAGGGACTGGCACACATTCCGTCATATTGACGCTCCTCTTTCGGCTGCAGAGTGCGGAGCTCGTCTCCCCCAGCATGGAGTGAGTAAGCGGGCCGTTCATATGAAAACCACCGGTGCCGTAGTACTCCTCGGGAGGAGAACATGATACCGAAGATCTGGGCGATCCACCGGAGTGATCGAGGATTTGCAAGCTGCCAAACCCTCCTCCTACGCCATTGCAAGTCTCAGGGTTAGAGTCTGTAGCATCAAGGGAGTCGACCATTCCTCCCCCGTCGCTGCAGTCCGTCTCCACGGCCATGAGAGACAACTGATCGAGGGCGAAGCGGAGCGCGTCCTGATGCTCTTCGTCCCGGGACTCTGGCTCAGAGTCATCGGGCAAGACAACCCCGGAGTGCTGACTGCTTATCACTCTCTCACTATCCATTATTTCGGAGTGAAAAAGCGGGCTAGGCATAGTTCCTGAGTTTCTGCATTAGTGTCGGTGCGATGCAGTTTTCTAATCCTTCTCCATGCACCGAAAATGCCAATTTTACAAAAATGTTCAATCAAAGCACACCTTTAACGTAAACATCTAAATCAGCGCATAATTCTCAGATGATCCTCTTTTTGTTTCCCCCTTTCCCTTCTTCCCAGTTCCACTCCCAAGCCCAATCACTTTTTTCTTTCACCCTTCTTTTTGTTATTCCTGTTTTTTTTGTTGTTCAGAAGATAATTTCTCCCTATGTTTGCATCACAGGTTTCGCACTGCTTAGTTGTAAGCAGTGCTGTTTTTTCCTGCCGTGACTTTATTGCTGACTGTTTTCAAACTGCAGTCTTCCCCTACACCTTACTGAAAGAGATCATGAAAAGCTTATAAATTTGAAATAAGAACTTTTTCGTAGGCAGCAACCTTAAGTCCCTGCTCACGTTGTCTTGGCCTTTGTCTAAAAAAGCACAATAACTTGGCTAGATCGCGCACTGACGGAGTTGAGCATGCCTACGAGATATTAGCTGCAAGTTCTTTGTTTTCTGGTTTGCCGTGAACTAGCTTGCTAAACATGCTTTCAACGATGTGGCCCTAGACATGTCATTTCTCATATTTCTCCCGAGTCCTAAATGAAGTCTGCCTCGTTAGTTGATCACCCGCGATCAATTTAACAGTGCAATAAAGATGCAACTCAGATCAAAACAGAAAAGAATCCGTATCAATGGAATAAGAAAGCAGGTCTCGCGTTTACCCCCCTTTCAAGTTTCTACTTTCTTCGTTCCGCTAGCTATCGAAGAAAAAGCATTTCTTTAAAGTGAAGCGCGTCTACCTTGCGGTGTTTGTTGCCACACACCTTTATTCGTGCCGTGCTCACATCCGCCGCCTTTGTCTCGCCAGGCGCACGCCGCTCTGCCTGCCCGTGCACACCGCGCCGACGTCACCCGCGACACAACAATGGGTTCAAAGGCCACGCGGCAGAGGCGCGCGCGGCCGCGGCCACGCTCCGCGTGCTTCCACTCACCCCGAATAACTCCGCGCTAAGCAGCGGTGCGCATCGCGCAGTTCTGTTGTTAATGCGTCTCCGTCGAAATCATTGCTGTTTTGCAGCCCCCTCCCTTATGTACGTGAAACGTCCAGTGTGATCGACACAAGCACATTGAGACAATTGTAGGATATGGGTAATCGACAACAGTTATATGACGCGTGCGATCGCATTTGATTTATTGCAAATATAATCAAAATATATGTCCAAATCTGTTTTAAAAAAAAAAGATAAACCAAAATGTAGCATGATGACAGTCATACTCAGACATCCAATAGTATTCGCACTCATTGTCACGCCTTGGGAGTCTGTAGTTCTTATACATTGCGGTGACCTGAATAAGAGGGTTTTCAGTTATGTTAGTGATACTTACGTTCGGGAGAGATGGCCGTGAATATTTACTTCAAATGGGTATTCAGGGCACTGGAAAGACTTCCTTAACTTTGAATATGTCGGGAGGCGATCAATTTTATATGACAACAATGAACATGAAAATTCCAGATGGCCATACCGGAACCGATGACAGCACGTTCTGCAGAAATAAAATAAATACATAAATATTGTAACAGATTTCACAACCGGTGGTATTCTTCTTATTACAAATCTATCGGATCTATCTATTTTCCTTATGATAAAATAAGGAAGTTGGCTAAGCTGATAATGCAACTCGAAAACTATTCTTTCAGCTTAGTGTATGAATACCGGTATACTTTCAATTTCTGTATCTAACCGCATTACACGCAAGTATTACATTTCGGGTTAATTTGAAAAGTTCATGTGCGATTTCAGTGTTTCTTCTAAACAGCAGCGTAACCGCACTAGATTGGGAATTTTCCTTTCTTACAGCCCTGACATGACGATCATGATAGTCCATCAGTCCACAACCACATATCCTGGGTGGGGGCGTTAGGGTGGCCACAATCTGGCCAAAGATCCCAGTCTCGTGCACGGAAAAAAATACATACACAGTCCCACTATAAATTCGCATGTCTTTGGACAGCAGAAAGGAACGGAGTATCCAGAGGACGGAGGGAGCGCATTTAAACTTCACATGTCCTCAATTCTGGGGTTCTGAGGCAATAGTAGTACACGCGGAGCCAACATGCCACCCTCTAAATGATCTGTGGAATAAAATATCCCTTCAAAATTACGTAAAACAAGGGTTAAACTAATCATAACAGTAAGCTAAATAGCCTGGTGATAGTGTAATTCACTGAACAAAAACACAATCCCCATTGGATATACACAAACATTTTAATCAGTCACGCAGTTTTACAAATGTAGACCAACATGGTAATGGGTGGATCAACTGGAAAAAGAAAACTTTTTTTTAAAAAAAGGTGTAACTGTTAAAAAATCAATATTTAAAAGTGTTCCAACCATTGTCTTTCATCAGGTTTTGCCAAGGTGCAGATTAACTGAGGGAGAATTAACAAATGTTTGTTTTTTACTATTACTTTCATCGAGCTTAAGTGATGGACAGAGGAAGCAGCACTTGTGATGGGACAAAGTTCACAATAATTTATAACATAACAGACTGGATGTTAAAACAGGATGGATGTGTTGATTGAGAGGTATAATACCTAATAAAAGGAGTCTGCATGCTCCAAGGACAAAGCAGACTGTAAGCAAATACAGAATAATGCGATGACAACTGGGGACTGGGATATACCGTACTGCCATAAAGAGCCCAATTTATTAAACAAGCCAAAAATCCATTAAGTCATAATTGGGGGCATGAGAACATTGGAAATAAATATGGACGGTGTGCACCGTAAGGTGAGATCCTACCAAGCTGTAGATCAGACTGACTGCGCAGGATAGTTAATATCTAAAATGTGATTAAGTTTCTTTGAAAAAAAAAAAAAAAAAAAAGAATATACATTTTGGCAACCATTACGAAACAACGGTCATTATCACCTTCATGCCCAATATTAAGTTTATTTTGTAATCAAATCACACAAATGCTTAAAAAAAAAAAAAAAGTGGCACTTTGTTACCCCCCCTCCCCCCCCCTCTTTCAGTCATTCAAGTCCTTCCTTTACATCTGGAGAAAGCTGGAATACTAGGACACCCCCCTCCCCATCCAAAAAAAAAAAAAAAACGCACTGCACTCTCTTAACATCTCATTGGTTGGAAGAAAAGTCCAAAAAGAAATGGGGCAAGATATAACCAGTCGGTCGTCAGAAATTTGGATGTCAATTTTTTAACACACACTTCTTAAAAGTCTTTCTTACAAGAAAGTTTGTGCATATGGGTTGGATACAGTTGACAAGATTGTCATAATACCATTCCTAGTTAACACAGTTACCATCCTAGTCCATAAAAGCAAATGTATATAAAAAGTCAAACTAAAAGAAAAAAAAAAACACTGATTTTGCAGACCTACTGTAAACTTCTCCCATTACTTTGCACCTTAAAATATTATTTAAAATGAAAGATTCATATTATGTAACTAATCAATTTGATTCAGGATTGTAACTGGAGACTTTCCTAGCAGTGAGGCCAGATGTCTCCATGCTGTGCTGGGTCAAAGGCTGAGGACAAGGCAGAGTCAGGGAGATGAGGCAGGGAAAGGGAGACGAGGCAGAGTCAGGGAGACGAGGCAGGGAAAGGGACAGCAGTGTTTTGTTGGTTTGGTACAGGGGTCTTGGTCGGGGTCCTGTGAAGAACTAGGGGTAATCCTGCGTTCCAGGCAGCCCTACTGCACCCTCCAGTCCTGAAAGAAAAAGAAAAGGTTTCATAGAGATCTTCTGTCACACTGAACTACTGCAGCCAATTAACACATATTTCAACTACTAAGTCTAGGAAGAGCGATCGATCATTTTACAAAACACTGATCGTGACGGGCATTTTTGGTACAAGTGTGGTTATAAGTCACTATTTTGCCTTTTTTTTTTTTTTTTAAATTGGTGTATACATGACATTTGAGTGACTTTTTCCTATTGATTAGCAACCTATTTACACAAATGAACAACTATTCAGTCTGTACACTATACATGAGCCAGTTAACATCTGATAAATTTCAAACATAATATGCAATAAAATTAATGCTCACTGCAGCAAAGGACCCCCCCCCCCCAAAAAAAAAAAAAAAAGATTAAACTCACACATAAAAATGTCAAACAAAAAGGACATCCTTCAGTCCACTTCTCATATAGACATTCAAAAGCCAAGGAACAAGTGTTACTTAAAACCTTCAGTACACTTTACATGAAGAACCGTTTCTTTGTTCTGGGCTACACTGGTCTCCTTCTCAGTCGTGGTATCATGTTCTCTTATCAGAGGAAACAGCCATGTTTACTGCTCTCAGGATTTTGTATACTTAGATTCCATCTCCAGTGCCCTTCCAGAATAGAGAATTGGTGCTTATGACTTTTGCAGCAAACCTTATAAGGCCAGGATTTGTCCTGTTTCAATATTGATTTCTTCCATCATGCAATGAATACCATTGTCATCATGAGCCCAGTTCATAGACATTTAACTCACTTCATATGCTGCTCATAAAAATATGACAGCAAGTGCAGTTACTCGGGTGACTTGTGAAGAGGCTTTGTAATGGTAAAAGGTTGACACTTTGACAGACAAATCTTTTACACCAACAATTCATACATTTTTCTAGTTCAGCATGAGATTGCATAAATAGTTCATTTGCTCAGTTTTAACATTGCAGAAAATGAACATTCAGTTTTATAAAACCAGTCCTGTATTCCAGAATCTTCTGTCCACCAGGGGTATTCAGTGCAAGGTTCTATGGGTTTGTTTGGCAAAGGTCACCGTTTCAAATCCCTTGGCTAGCAGAGGGACGTTACACCAACTGCTCAAGAGCATCGTGTGACCCTGCTCACCGATTCTGATTTGCAAGTTGCTTTGGACAGAAGTGTTTGCTACATAAACATAATGTAAATGACTATGACTCTTAAATGTGGGCTGGTGCCTCAAAATATGAATTATATGCTTAGAAACAAAAAAGTAATAACGACTACAATTAACCACGCAAGAACACCATGCATTAATACTTCAGTTGCAGTAGTTTAATACACATAAAAATAGGGGTATTAGTTTTGGATAAGACCACACCAGGTAGCCACAATACCATATGAACTGTGCCAAACAGAACAAAGAAATGTTGGTTGCTGGTGAGTAATTTGAAACCAATTCCGTACCTTTCCACTGCAAATTAACTGTTGCCATGCCTTAAAAATTGGCTGCAGCACCAGAAAATTGCCCGTTTGAAACTGCAAACCCATGTAGTCAGAATGTGGGGAGGGGGTTAACAATGCAGTGTATGTAAACCTTTTCCCTCCCCAGTGTTAAACGTTTTGTTTGATTTTAGCATTTGCTGAAAACATGCGGAAATTACAGTAGAGGCCGCATCAGTAGTACTGAGTAAATTATTAAATGTTACATATAACTTTAAAAAGGGGGGAAACAACACAAAACAGTATGATATGTAAAAAGTTTGAGTGGTTCACTGATTTGTATTCAGTATTGGCCTGCAAAGAGCAACCGTGACACGTTTCCTTACACAATCAAAAACTGGTGCTTGCTCTCCCGAGTCTATGTTCGACACAGTGACAGTCAGTCAAATGACTCTGGTGAAACTGAAGTTTTGAATGAGCTGCAGCTGACTAAATCCAGGGATTATTAAGCCACACCAATGTCTTGTCCGTGGATTTACTCAAACTATGTGTGATGCCCGTCTTTGTACGTTTATCTGTACATGTGAAATACAAATACAAAATCTACACAGCAAAAAAAAGAGCAAATAGTTATAAACGTTAATTAGTAATGCTTCGTAATGTAACTAGCTAATGTTTCATAATAAATAAATAAAAAACGGACTGATGCTAACTTAAGAACCAGCACTTAGGTTAGCATCAGCCTAAACACAAACTCAAATGTTGCATGCCAGTTATGGTACAGATACTCGCTGTCTGTTATACATCGTTTTTAACAGTGGAGATACCAGGACCTGCTACTTGAGCACCACCTGAGGACCAGCTGGGCACTAGGAACCTCCTGCAGAGCTTGGCACAGCCTACCTCTGCTATACCGTTTCCATGTCGTCGTTTCCGCTCCCCTCCTCTTTGAGCGTATCCCCGTCGTTGGACGCCTCCTCCACGTGGGCCAGCATGTCAGCCATCAGCGCCTCCTCTAGCTTCTTCCTCACGCTGTACACCAGCTCCTCCTGCTTCCTGATTCAGGAAACGGCAAGTATGCCTGTAAACCTCGAAGCCTTTTCCTTTTGTGCATAAGCAGGCGATGCCTCAGAAAAACTGTCACATTTTACATGGAGCCCAAAGGAATCGCATTTTCGTATCAGATTTGCATGTGGAAAAAAATGCAATTGAAGAAAGCACGACTACCCTGCTCATTTTCTGCACCGACAGTTACGACACAGGGTAAATGGAAGAAAGATGGCAGACAAATAATCATTACACATGGCCTCTTGCTCTCCTTGCAGAATCTCCAATCAGAGTGGGTACCTGATATCTTCATCCGTCACTATGAAGGCTTTGCAGAGGGGCTGCGATGTGTTGAGCCACACCCCCGGGTTCTTCTCCACGGCGGCCGACAACTGGCCCGTAATGGGAGCAGCACTGGTGTGCAGGGCACTGGCGATGGCCGAAAGCAGGGTCTTGTCCGTACACCCCGGGCCCACTCCTGAGGCGCGATAAACGCGTGCGATTGAGAATGTTACCCACGACAAATATGCCGCACTGCTCCCAGCGCGATCAGGATAGCTGCGAATGCAACACAGCCAACCCAGCCTCCGCGCTCATTCACCTTGAAGGCCCTTGGGAAGGTCCATAGTTTTCACCAACTCCTCCGCGATGTCAAAAGCATTCAAGCCGCTAAGCTTCTTCTCCCAGAACAGCTGCAAGCATAAATAACATAGGACAGGGCACATTAGAAATCAAGAACAGCTTCCAGACCACAAAAAAAGGACATCTTTTTCATTACTCAACAATCCATCATGTAGAGTGGACAAAAAAACACACTGTTTACCAACACATACCTACACGCACACACAAAGGCTAAACATTTGCCGTATTTCACCTGTCCAAGTCAAGGACTATACTTTTATGCTTTGTCCAGGGAGGCTATTCAAATCACGGTCCTCCAGGACTGAGCACTGCTGGTTTTCCAGCTTTCCTTTACCTGTGAGTCAGGTGTGAAGCCTCTGGCCAATCAGAATCAGTCATTATTAAACTAACTACCTGGGAGAACTGAAAACAAGGCCTGGATTTGGAATGGAGGGCCAGGCTTGAAAAGCCCTGGCTTAAGGCATAACCTCATCAGACCATCTTCTGCCTATAACCTGGTTTACTAGATGGGGGGGGGACTTTAAAAGAGTCTGACTCATGATTGAACCATCACCCCCACCCCCTCCCCAAATTCTAAGGTCTAACACTGTAGACTGCAGTTTACCTGTCTTGGCTGGTCGATTGCTTTCTGGGGGTCTGTCTTCACCTTGTTGCTGGGGTGATTGGTGACCTTGGTGACAGGCTGTTTGAAGATGGATGCAGTTTGTCGCACTGGCAATGACGTGTTCAGGTCAGGCTTTCCCTTTAGCGTGCAAACAAAGGCACCGTTAGCCGAGCAGCCAGCCCAACTCAAAGCTGCAAACCTGGTAAGTGTTGAACTGCACTATTGTCACACACTACAACCATCGTTGAATCAATTCCCCAGTTATACTGACAGCCAACCACTAACTGGAATAGCTTTTGAATATTAAGAGCTTTTGGGACGGGCTCTGGTCCCCCATGACCCTGAATAGGACAAACCCGTACAGCGGATAGATGGATGGATGGATGGATGGATGACAATGGAGGTTTGTGAAGGGAGGGGGTGTTCTTTGCATCATATTCACACCGAAAAAAAAGAGTTAAAAATGAATAAACATCTATGGTTATGTTGTCTCTCCAGTCCGGTTAGAGCTTGATGCTATTCAACAGGGTAGGGAGAAATTCTAGGAAGTTTTTGATGCAGCAAAATGCTGAAAAACATACTGACACAAAGGTAAACACCACCATATATTCAATACTGGGGAATTTAAACAGCAGCTGTAAAAACATAGAACTATTCTGTTCCACAATGATCAGGGTTGTTTAAAAATCTGAATGAGCCACAGAAACTAGTCAGAAATGTCACTGTGACCTTCTCTGAGAAATGCAAGCGTCTATCCCGTATAAGGCCAGACCAAAGCAGTACATATACAGTCAAACCTTTTATTGTTAATGTCCTTCCATCAAAGAACCATTCCTTGTCAATACTACTTTACATAAATGCAGCTTCAGCAGTGAATTTCAGCAATATACAAGCAGTAGCAGGGAATTTTCACAAAGGCGCCAAGTCTGCCTTGATCTAAATGAGCAGAAGAACAATGAAACATTTACCCACAATATAGGTTGCTTTTCCACTGGCATACAGGAACCGGGCCTTACTCGACCTGTACTACGCAAAGATACTTGTTATAGCGCGGCTCCAGCTCACTTTAGGTTTGGAACAAGACAGTGACAAAACCGGAGACGCTAATTTCCACGAGCACCTCTGTCAGAATGGCCATGTTATGTTAGTATCAAACACTAGTAAAACTAGCATTAGCTTGTGTTGATTTGCATTACGAATCCATTCCATTCAGCCATTCTACACTCATGGGCAAAGAAAAATGAGCCAAACCCAAATAGCACATTAAGCTTTGGCCCATTTTTTTGCCCAGGAGTGTATAGTACTTTTTACTTAGCAGGTAGAAAATTTTTTAAGTTAGTAGTTACTGACAATGCATCAATACATCACAACGTGTGATACTACTAATAATAAATAATATATATCCTTCAGATAATCCATGCATATTGACACAGATCAGCAGTATCTCCGTGCATTTCAACCAATCAGATGGTGGTTTGGTCACACTTTCGGCCTTGCCATGTCCGCACAGGTAAGGGGTTGTGTGTGGCTTGCATAATTTACAAAGGAAAACTGTCTCTTCGCGGTACAGCTTGGGTACAGATCACTCCTTGGTGGCAGTGGAAAAACGACAATGGATTCTACCACTTAACGGCTGAACAAAAAGACCACAGCAACTACCAAAGAAAGAACCAAACAAGGGGGGGGTTTCAGACCACTCAGGGTGCACTCTGGGTAATATGCAAAACATTTTAAAACATCATGGCCTTCAGTAAAGCTTCTTAATTTCAGCACAATGATCAGAAGAAAAAAAAAAGATTCCATGGGTACAAAAAAGGAAGAAAAAAAACAGAAATTCAGTTGACTTTCGAAGTTCACCAATTTAACAACCCCAAAGAGGAATATCTCCAGGTAACTAGAGGCTATACAAAAGGGCTGTTCAAGACTGATGCAACAGTTTTCTATGGAGAGTTAGAAGGCCTGATGCAATATACAAAAGGAATTTCATATTCTTCCCAGAGTAATTCCCCTTAAATATGGAGCCTCCATGCAGTTACAGGAAAATCCCCTTGAAATTTGATCAACTTGAGCTGTTCCTCATATTTAATCCACCAACCACTGCAGCCCTTGTAACAAATGAGATGAGACTCTCATATTCCTCACATTTACTCGGCCAAACCATGGGGCTCTTTGTTACCAGGCTCCTAGAAATATCATTTCAAAGCCACCCCCCCCCCCAACCCCCAAGCAATGGCACAGAGGATTCTTAAGGACACTAAGGAGGGAGGGACCATATATTTCTATATAAATGAAAAAAATACCATCTGTGAAGAGGGTACCGAGAAACTGGAGTATGACTATATGCATCCGATATCCAAGAATCACAGACACTCTAAGGAACAAACGACACTATAAATTTCCATTTGGGAGAAGATAATGATCGAGGACTTGCAAAAATGGTGAATTTTGTCTAATGCACATGGACAACTTTCTAATCATCTTTCGATTAATATGTTGTCCAGAGATTAAAAACATTTTCCTCTAACAACCAGAAACTAACCTATGCAAACCATAAAGAACTGGGGGGGAAAAAAACTCAGATTAACCATGCAAATCCAGATAAACTGCAGTCACCAGACAAACCAGCCAAGTAGAGGGCTTCTACCAATAATGGTTTTAAAAAATCATTATGAACAGAAGGAAATGTAAAAAAAGCTAGAGACAAATAAGTCAGTCTTACAGAACAGTAGTTTTTGCCTTCAGAATGTCTGCATGTTACAAAGGTCTGCATTGTCAAACAAGGAAACTGCCCTCCCCCCTTAATAAGTAACTGAAGGTTTGTGAAATACTGTTTCCTTGAAGCAAAAACAAAGCTAAAACAGTACTTGTTAACCTCAGTTTGAAGAAGAAGAAAAAAAACAGAAGATTTTCAATACATCCTGTTTATGCAACAAGAAAATGGTGTTTGAAACCTGTGCCATTAGCTGATCTTTAAAGCATCACAGCCTTTTTACTCAAACTTGGAAAAAAGGTGTTGGTGTGCATATCAGAAAAAAAAAATCCAAACTAAGTTTTCATTTCAACTGAATGACTGAGAAAAATGCTTTTTGCAAGAACTAACCAGGAACACACACTGTACCTAAAGAGCACATGACAAGTTTATGATACAAGATTAATAAACTTACAGGCCAAAGTGAGAATCCCTTATGGGTATGTGCCTTCAAACTGTCAGCAACATAGATAATGTTCACTTGCATAGCTCATGCATCTCAAACAGTGATCAATCAGGCCAAAAAACTCATAATAGTTAACCCATCAGAAGTTGTTTCAGTGTTTCAGTGTGAGGAAGAGTGAGGGATTACTGATGTGGAAAAAAAGCCAAGCCTTCGATACTCTGTAGTGTACCTCTGTCTTAATGGAATTAATTTTGATGCTTAAAACCAAATGCTTGTCAAACATGTACAATGCACATATTGTAGGTGAAGACAGATTGGTAACGTACTAAACCTGGCCAAGTTACCAGCTCATTTTTATCGAAACCAAGTTTAAGTGTTAGCTAGCTGTTCATGGACCACTACTGTAGCATAGCAACTGATTCATTTCAAAGTGCACATTCACCATATTTTCAAACAAACATTTCATTGGTATAGGTGAGACTTGGTTTGATGGGCATTTCATCATCAGATATTGGGATTAGAGATAATCATGTGATAAAACTGAAAATGTCATGGCTGACGGTCTAAAGGAACAGCATTAGATGGTTAATAATGTTTTTATGCAGCAAGCATAAGAACGGTTAAGAAAATAAAATGATTCATGAGTGAAATATGGTTGATAATAAAATACACTTAGTAACATACGGACAACTAGAGATTGCAGCTTCTACTCCTAAGATTGACTACTCTCTACATGTATGAATAGTATTTACGGGAGGAGTTCTTTCAGAACAACAGCACTGAAAGAGACCAAGATTATGTGATTCTGTCAGCATATAGATCCCTCTTCGCAATACCAGCACGGCCTGGAGCTCTAGGGAATTATCTTGCACTCTTCCCTCAGCCTTTACCTTTGTCTGGTTGTTGTTATCATAGCGAACTCTCTGTCGATTCTTGTTCAGTTTACTCATCAACATCTTTCCGGTGCGGAAGTCAAAGGAGCTCAGGTCCATGGAGTTGCCCAGGTAACGGGCCAGCTGTGGCTTGCTCCGGAACTTCTTGCCAGCTGGGCTGGGGGAGACAATGGGGGACAGCACACATTACAGTGTCCCATCACGTCGGCACCGGACACTGATAGGTCGGAGCAGGTGGGCAAGCAGCAGCGAATATGAAAGGCTGCGGGGGCGACACAAAAGTCACAACTGCATTCTGATATGTGCATTGATTTCAGTACTGCAGATACAAACACACACATACATGCAAAAATAAGCATATTAGCAAGGCAGAGTTTACCAGCCAAAGACAAGTCCAGACAATATCAAACACAGGAACCAGACATGGATATGAACAGAAAACGGGCAAAAACATGGGCATGCAATTGTTACCCTGGGGGCTTAAACTAAACCTGAACACCAAGGTGAAAACAGCTGAAATGTGTTTATCAATCTGAAACGTAATATCGTCGATCGCAACAAATCAATAATGTTCTTAACAATGAGAAAAAAACTGTCGTCTAATTATTGTTTTTCATTATACTGCTTACTTAATGTCATTTTTACATATGACTAACATTGGATAGATCGAAAGATCACGTGTTACGAGCTGGGTATACGAATTGCTAAGAGTGACTCAAAAGTCGAGTGCCAACAAATGAATGGTAAAATTAGCCTTTCACTGCGACTTGTTTGTCGCATTTGGCACAAAGCGATACGATCGACTGCATACTGCGGCGTTGAAGTCCTACATATGTATCTGTAGTTTACTTTTGGCGCCCTATATACTACTACGTGAAAGCAGGCAGCTATTCGGGGTTTAAAGGCCGCAATATTAGATCTAATTCGTCGCGACGGCCATTCCTGCGGATGCCGCCGCACATGCCGACATACCGGCCTAGCAGCTCGGGATCACTATGCCCGAAAGCAGCCAGCCTAATCAGTGCCTCCCCCCCCCAACCCCGGGTGATGCACCGGCATATGCAAGGCCTAACAAACACGTTGCATGATTGACAATACAATGAGACGTCGAGCTAGCATTCATCACATGCAGGACCCCCCCCCCGGAACAGCTCACAATCTCCATAGCTACTGACCATCAACCAGTTTGCGTGCGTGCACCACAGCGCAGCGTAATAAAACGAGCATACGGTACCACAAGCTATACACACGACCCGCCTCCCCCCTTCCTCGCCTCTGTTCCTCCTCCTCTTCCTCGCTTCTGCTAAGAAAAGGACAGCGCGGGTCGTTTCCTGTGCATAGTAAGCTAAGCATGCGATTCCGATGATGGAAGGAAGAATAGTGGCCATAGTCCCCTCCCTCCACTTGCACAATCTGACGCCCATAGACGGCCATCGCCAAAAGAGAAACAAAAACAGCCAAGTACCTCGTGTACCCAGTTCCTGACCTGTAGCATTACGAAAACAAGACTTTAGTTGAAACTAATATTAGTATTTAAAAAAAAAAAAAAACAGCAGCCAAAGGCAAATTCATTGACGCCGCAAAATAGCACCACCCCCACCAACTTTGTTTGTATCCCCCCCATGCCCCGTCCGACAGTACTGCCCGTAAAACTACATAGTATCACCATCTCCTCCTCACTCAGTACCTAAAATAATAGACATCGCTTTTCCCCGCAGACAAACCCGACTTTCTGGTCACTTCTTCCCTTTTCCAGCCCTTGGGGAGAGCCGAGCACTCCCACCTTTTCCTCTCCATGCTTCTCCCGAGTTTTATTCCGCCGAAGTGGAGACTTTGTACTCTCTTCCCCCCCCCCAACCCGAATAAATAAAACGTTAACTTTACAGCTTCAGCAAATCTTAATTTTTCTTGTATTTAATACCACATGGTCCCTTCAGCCGCGCGGTTGCTATCTTTCCAGTAATTATATCGCATCTTTTTTCCCCTTTGTCACTCAGCATATCCCTCCGCCGTCACTAAACCGCATCACGACCCTCCTGTCAAGATAGGGCAAAGAAGGATTCATCCGCTAGGCGTCAGTGTATGTCTTCAAAAAAGAAGCATTTTCCACCATCGTGTAACTGATGATGACGCTGCGGTGTATAAAAAGTTAATTCAAGATATTCTTATAAAACACACACAAAGCGTACAGCATGAAATTTTTAAGCTTGAGTTGACATACATAACGTCAAGGTGTGTATTTGACTTAGTAGAGTACGCTAGTGTCATCAAAATCAAGAGGAATAATTAATAAATATATTTTCTTAGAGGTTTTACATGAAAGAAAAGCAAATACTTCAACTGCAGTTGGATATCTCCTCGCAGTAAACAATTAGGCTAGAAGATAAGGTGATTTCAACATAAACTGCATATTCAATATTTTAGGAACAAAATAAAAAAGTGATTTGCACGGCTGCTGTCTTGTCATTCGTAACAAAGCACTAATCCGAGCTTGTTCTTAAATTTATAAATCATTAAATGCAGCCAGATGAAAACCGTGCGTGCACGCCATATTGCACCAATTTATATTTGCAGGGCCAGAAAACGCACAACGAAACCGAAGTTTGCATTTAAAACTAACATCATCAAATATATATTTGCATTGTTTGTTCTAAAAGAACGAGAGAAAGAAATCGTTTTCGCGAAGTATTACAATTTCCGTTCTCAAACGGAGCACGTTTGTTGAGAAACAAAAGATTTTCAAAATTACCATTACTAGTTTCAAGCCTTCTTGGCAATGGTATGCTATTTATAAACGTTTTTTTAATACCAAAAGCTTTAGAGATACAAAAAGCCACTGTCTGCACCGGCTCAACTGCAGACATGCATGAAACAGACAAAAACATTTTACACGACTAGCTGTCTTTCTAACTACGACACAAAGCTAAATATTGCTCGCCATTTATTTTTTCTTGTTTCTTGCGCGGGCATTACTTACTCGTTTTTGTCCATTTCGCATACTACCTCGATTTCTCCCTTTTGGTGTATGCGCTTAATCCGTTCTCTCCTTCCCCTCTCTCATTCCCCTCCCCCTTCGATGAGAGAATCAAGGACATCATTTGTGCAAGTAGCATGGAAAAAACGATGCCAGATTTGGAGAATTGGTAATGCAATAGAACCCGAAGGAGGCGGGGATTTTTTTTAATAGTATTTAATCCACGAAAGAGAAATTTATCGCAACGAATGCATATTTTTGTAGGTTTGTTTTTGACATGTACGTGCCTTTATAAATACCATGACACGCAGGTGCGAACAAGGAAAATTTGTACCATATGATATACAGACGGTCTCTTCTGATGTTAATTCCAGCGCAACTTTCCAGCAAAAGTTTAACTGGTCTCGATTACTCTGGCAGTGCATTACAGTCTCAGTCACGATTAGCAGATGTCTTGAACTAATACATGTGGTAATTAATGCAGACCAGTTTAGTAGATTTCCATTGGGAATTAGAAGAAATTTACAAAGACTGTTTACAAAAGTAGCTGTTTTTTAAACGCTATTGTGAAAGCGTGACGGGTTATTGTTTTGGCGATTTAAGGAAATTTATAACAGCTGGGCTGTAAGCTGCCTTGTATGGGCATCCGATCAAGGAGTACTGTCCATTAGAAAACAAAAAACACCATTACATCCACGAGCGGTTGTTTGTTCCACCCTTGTGTAGCGAGCGGACCATAAATATCTTTCAGCAACAGAGCTAGGGTTGAACCATTTTATTTCTGAAAAAGCAGTGTTCTGAAAAAGTCAGTTGCTTGAATAGAAAAGACTAATTTAAACCCTTCAACAGAAACAATCTTAACTGATGTAAGTTAAAGTAGTAATTATTTTGGAACCCATCACACATAGTTGAAATAAGAAACGCTTAAAATACATTTACAGAACTTTGGTTATCATTATTATTTTTTAGAAAGTGAACGGAATCGGACACATACAGAAATAGCTTTGAAAGTAAAGTTTATTCACATAAATTACAAAAAATGAACATAAAAGTAGCGGATTATGGACGGTGCCCACTGCCAACAGCCCACGTGGTTGTGCCAGGGAACCTCCAAGCTCAGTGCAGACGAAGAGGGCCACCCCCAAACCATCGGCACACTCCAGCCCTGTACAAATAAACAGTCAGTATGTCTGCAAGACAATTTAAAAAAAGCAATGTAGGTACCTGATGCTTCTGCAGTTCCTTTCTTAAAGAGTAAAAATAATTCCATCTACTCCTTATAAATATTACAGTACATCGCTACACAGAAATAGTTCAGTATCTCTAAGTAATTTATTTCGTTTAACAGAAGTGCTTAGACCCATTGAACTGTAGTGTAAACTTTTCTAAGGAAGCCCTGAATGCGCTCCTCATGTGATCTGCAGCGAATATGAAAGGCTGCGGGGGCGACGAAGCTTTCAAATACCAACTCACCGTCCATCCCACGGCTATGCATCTATTCGTCGTTCTTAAATTTTCCATTTATGTAGGGCACATAATCCAGAATTACTCTCCAGTCTGTGAAATGGACTAGACCCACCGCACCTACGGTGCCCCAGCCGACCATTGTGGGAACCCTGTCAATGAAAATGCACACGATAAATTAATTTAACAAAGTAAATATGAAAATTACATTGTGCATTCCCTTGTGAGTATCACAATAGATATCATGTCTATTTAATAACACGTTGTATTTAATCTGGTTGCTCACATAACGCTTTAGAAACAATTAACTACCGGGTTAACCTTGGACTGAATCTTACTATCTACTTGCATCAACCTACAGAAATTAAACATGCACCTATGATTACTATACTGATGTCCTTAAGTATCCCCCTCTATATGCTAAATAATTCAATGTCTTCTGTGGTATTTTATCCACTAGTGGGAGCAGCGTCAGAGTCAAAGAACACTAGGAAGGTGGGCCATTCGCTTCACAGTAACGAGAAAAAAAGTCACAGTCCGTATTAATATCAGTTCACAGTCACCGAACGCAATTGTCCCAAACTTACCACGCTTTGAAGATGGAAATATATTTGGGTCCAACCGCTTTAGTAAGCATGATCAAATTTGACCTTCTTCTGTAGCACAGTACAGGGTCTGATGACTATGCTAGGACCCCTGTAGTCGTCTTGAGCGCCTGCACAAAAATTAGAAATGTGGCCTTTCCACTGCGCATGCGGAATAACGACTGCAACGCCGCCGGGCACTTCACTTTTTTAAACCGTCGAGAATAACCGGAATTTATCTATATAGTAGTTTGGTATTCATTTCTTTCACAGTTGTGATGCATGTATGGTTTAACACCTAATGCTTAATTTTGTTTGATTTAAACACAAATTCTGCCTTAATTTTTTGCATTTAAGAATTCCGTCTAAACCCAGTACTTTTTGGCGAATAGGTATTCAATACTAGAACAGCAGTGGAAGATACTTACTAAATATACCGGCTAATTTAGAAGGACGTTGCGAATTAGAGTATGGTGTTAGGATTCTTTTAAAATACACATAAAACACCAAAAGAAGAGTAATCAACATGTCCTAATAACGTCTTTTAGCACTAGGCAACAGGGTTGCTAACTCACGCATCTGGTGCGACACTCACGCTTTCTGACTCACGCAGACGAAAGAAATCTTACGGCAATCTATTTTATTCCATCAGAAACCTAAAATTAGTTACCTCAAAAGCGTTGCGGTAGATTTCAAACCCTACAGACTATTTTCAAGGTAATAAAACTGTTACATACATGTAAATGCGTGCGCATGCACAACATGAAACTTCTACACGAAGTCATGGGAATAACACGATTCAGTGAATATTCTCCACATTCACTCGTTAACAGGGAGCACTGAGTGCACTTGTTCATTGTCATTTTGATGAGTTACTAAGGAAGCAGACATGCCACTGAATTTCCAGTGGGGGGCAGGAATGTATACAGGGGTCAAACAGCCAAGTGTGCAGCTTGGACTTTGACTAAGGAATGATGTGTGTATATTTGCATTCCACCATAAAAGTTAAGTTTATAAGCACCAAATTGCATTAATTGATAAATTTCTAAAGTCTTATTCTATCCAAGGTGGCTCCAGCCTTGTGCTTCTTGAGATTTGCCTCAGGCAGTTTCATGTGACTTATAATAGTCTTCCAACATAGGCATGTATATAAACATGCATTTAACAATTTCAGTTGAATCATTAACTAGCCTCACATATACAGTTCACATTCTTACAGCAATCTTACAGCTAAATGTTGATTTCTCAAATTCCCTTCATGCAGGTTATCAGTGACCCTAACAGCATGCTACATTTTTTGGTTAACCTTGCATTTAAAACTATGAAAAATGGGGAAAGTATGTCCTAACTTAAGTACTCTCTCTTTAATCTGCCGGGAAACTGAAATTTTATTTTAAAGATTCTGTTGCAGATTGAGATATAGATTTTCAGATTAGGCAGTTTCAACAAATAACGACATTCAGCACTGCAGCATGCTGGGCTCTCTAAGTGTTAGGACTTGGAAACCAGATGGAATGAAACATACAAAAAAAAGAATAAAAATCAGTTGAAGAACCATTCTGAAAAAGCAATCCTAAGATTAAGTTTAAAAAAATATATATATGCCTATAGATTCATCTGTGAAACCACTATTTTAGCATCAGCTGGTATATTCGTGTGTTCAGCTATACAGCATGGAAACGTTCCCCTTGTCCAGTCTTGGAGGGTTGGAATCCAGCACAGTTTGCAGATTTCCCTGGTCAAACATCCTAATCAGCCAAGCACCCAGTTCAGTAGGTGTGTCTTAGCAGGAAAATCTGTAATCAGTGTTGCAAATCGGCTTCCCAGGACCGCAATTGGAGAAACCTGCAGTATGGTATATTCTACAACCCTTGCTCCCAGGTTTGTCAACCATTGAAATGTTGTTCTAGCAAGTACATTCTGAGCAGAAAGCTGAAGGCGTGTGGCGTCACACCGCCAAGTCTGTGTAGGCAATCACAGCGTCACTGGGTCTGACTCTGACCCCATGCTTTGCTCACTTACACACTGTTGAACAAAAGGATCTGCCAAGTAAATTAACGCAAATGTCTGTGGACCTTGTAGCCTAAATATGCCGTTTTATCAAAGTGACATTTAATTTTGTACTAAACCCCAATTCAATAACAAATATCTGTTTAGAAAAGGCTTAAGTAATGCAAACAGAAGTGTAAATTACTCAGGCCTATCCACACTTTTCCCGCTCTATAGCATTTGCTTAGAATAAACATGGCATTTGGTTTATGGTGAGAATTCCAGAAATAGCTTTGATTATTGCAGTTCGGAATATTTTATTTGCCTCAAACCATCCACATAAAAGTTATCTGGAGCTATAACGAATTTGGAGCAGCCTAAAATTATATATAGATCAATAACTGCTTACCGTTGTATGCCATAATTCACTCCAAACAGCAGCATAAACACAGCACTGAAAGGCCACTGTGAATGACTGTCATGATGTAGAAATTTTAAGACTTGAATTTTTTCCAATAGATCACGGGTTTGCTAGATATTAAAAAAATCATCAATAATAAAAAATGATCAAACCCTTATTTTTATTTTTTTAATTATACAAGTTTCAAAAGACAGACTGAAAAAGTATAATTCTGTTATTAAAAATGGCACATTTATTGCTACATTACTGTTATATACAGGACAGTTCTCAGTAGCTACATATACATCATATATATGTATATTTTTTATATATATATATATATATATATATAATGTATATATGTATGAGACAGAACAGAAGACAAGGACAGGAGGCACTCTAAGAACACAAAACTTGTGTCCTCAATGCAAACATGAGACGCCGGGTTCCGTAGCAGTGCGCATCCACGATGTGATTGGAAGGACAGAGTATCCTTTTGTTATTAGCATCAGACAATTTCACCACCAGCAAAACATTCTACATGAGATGCACTTTCACCAATTCACCGAGAATGTTCAGCCTTCCCGTGGGGGGGGGGGGGGAAAAAAAAAAAAAAACGGCAACCTTGGATTCAGGAGAGCACTGTTAAATTCTCTAAAACCACCAGAAGGGGCTGAACACTGTCGAGTCCACACCACTCAACGCTGCGATGTTAGAACAGCAATCTGTACGGCGAACCTGGCGTCTCCAAACTCATGTCTCGAGCAGCACTGACTGGCTGTCAGTCATGCGGCCGCTGCACACAGTAAGGAAGGGAGGAGGAAGGAAGAACGAAAAAGAAGGACAACAAATATACTCCACAGCATTATCTAAACAGTAGCTTGGAGAAACGATCAAATCCAGTTTAAAAACATCTACCAAAAAAAAAACAGGTTTTGCTCTTTTGTCTTAATGTTCCATTTCCTTCTTGTATATTTTTAACTTCTTTTTAAGTCACATAAAATAGGATGTACCGTACATCATGAAATACAGGACACATTATTCTTTAAAAACAAACAGATTGATCTGAAAACATATTCAGGCACTGAAAAGGCATCACCCTCCCATCATGACATCTGAAGTCTTTAGAATGAAAAGGCCACTGACATTTTTTAGATGTGAACTTGAAAGAAAATCACTCAAAAGAACTTCCCCATTCCAGACTAACAATGCACATACATTTTTTGTTTGAACTGGTAATTGCCTGAGAATTCAGTCGTATTCGAACAGGCATGAATATGGATGTGTTGAAACCTTTTTTTTTTTTTTTTGTAACTGACATGCAACAGCCCCACTGTTTCATTTACACATTTCCCAACAAATTTCAGGATACTGCAGCCACATTTGGAGCCTAAAACCTATTATTCATGTGTGGAAAACAGATTTGTTTTTTTAGGAATAAACTTGATGTCCGTTTAGTTGAAAATCCAGAACCAGTCAGCATCAGCATCTGAACTATACATTCCAAACCACTATGAATGAGGGAGGTTCTCCAGTCTCAAAGCCTGATGCTCTAAAATAGTATTCTTTAGAAGCATATACCCTTAAAATGGGTATAGGGTTATTACATGGTGTCTAACCTTCCTTAAAGGAAATTAATATCTCAAAAACAGAAATGACATTACATTTCAATTTGACACCACAAACATCCCTAGAATCCTCAAGAAAGATGGGTGGACCTTCCCGCAACCACACAAACGTAATGGCCAAGAATCCATTTGTTAACAAATAGCATCACACTAATGACTAAATTGGAAGTCCACTTATAACTATACAAGTTACACGACCTGGAGGAAAAAAACAAACCCTTTGTTCTCACCATTTTCAGAAAGTAATGCCACAAGGTAAATTATCTTCTCCCCATTTCATGAAGTTCTTCAACCAAAACGTGAAATTCTAAGGATACACCTGCTCTCTATAGCTGGTAATTAGCATTTGCCTTCGAACAGACCACAAACGTGACAAGAAGCCATCCCATTTTCAAAAGCAATCTGTGCTTTTGACACACTGACATCTCTGAATTTGTTCAGTATAGACAGAGTGAACTATATATAGTTACCTTAAAAATGACTGCTCCACTTAATGTCAGCTTAAGTGGAATTACATCAGAAGACAAATTTTACTCCAATTCATCCAGAGTACTATAGAGAGCAAGTTCCTCACAATTTTAGTTTGCGTTTTACTGTTGATCTTAAGGGGAAAAATAAAAAATAAAAAAAATCACCTTCTGAATTGAACTGTGAAGCAAAGAGGACATTTAAACAGAATGGTGACTCCTATGAGATTTAAAAAGCAAGGATCGCATCTCTATTCCCTTCTACAAAAAAAAAAACAAAGTCCCAGCTATAATTCTTTAAACACCTAAAATGTATAGCTTGATAAAAATATAATATATATATTTATATATTTAAATTTGCTCATCTGACATAAAATAACATCCTGACCTTTACCTATGCACGAACTGGGACACAGATCATGTAGCTTCACACCACGCTTGCTCCGGAAAGCCGGTGCCAACAGAAGAGCGTGGCGGGAAGAAGCCAGGAAGGCGGCGGTAACTCCGGGAAGGGCTGCGTCCCCGATTCCAGCGGAACCGGTCTGCCGACGGTCCCGGGAAGCCACGATTTTTTCCAGAGGGGCAAGCAGAAAGGGAATGTCAAATGCCGGACGGAGGGAAAGAGCATGTCACTTTAAACTTCCTGAAATCCCTTTTGTTTACTCGGGAGCCGGACACGGACCGGCGTAGAGGAGTACCGCGCACGTGCATTGACAGAGCCGGGCTCGCTGCAGTACAGACACGCCGCAAGAGAGGGAGAAGATGAGGATCACGTGTCAACTGAAGCCTCCACACCTGGCTTGAAAAGAACAGTGAAAGGGGGCAACCCACGATATAATATTTGTCTTAAAATAGTACTTTTCTTTAACACAGATATGCCACTAGAGAGACTTTGTGGAGCACAATACTGCAGGGTCCCCATGCCTTGCCATTTAACACTGGACTGGAAGAGCCAACCCCCCTCCCCCATCCCCCCCCATGCAGAAAGTCCAATGAGCAAATCCGCATGTCCCGCTCCAGGCCCCATCTTATGCGGAAGTCAAGGCCGAGAAGTCCGGATCGTTTCTTCAATATAAATATGGCTGGGGGTTCTTTCTCTACGTATATAAGACTACTGTTATTAATGACAAAACTACACAGGAAAATAAAATAACTGCAATTGCTCGTAGAAGCAATTCCCAAAAAAAGAAAAAAAAGAAAAAAAAAGAAAAAAGAAGAAAAACTTTGTTCCAAAGATGTAATTGTGTTCAAATGTCTCACAAAACATGCGACTAGGCACAGATCTCCGTGACTCATTTTGATGATGTCCTCTCCTCCGAGTAACTTTCTGGGCAGTGTGAAATGTCCACGTGCTGCAGGACAGCACTAATCCATGATCCATAACGTTAAGATTGATACCCAATGTTGATATATTTTTTTTTTTTTTTTTATATATATATATATATATATATATATATATATATATATATATAAAATAAAAAAAAACCCACAACAATTCACATTTGCGCTGGTAGCTCTGATCCGTCAGTTCACTATGTCAGTTTTGGCAGTATGGATGTGTGTATAGGTTTGTATGTGCATTGCTATTCACTTGTTTGTACACAGACATCAATATATGCACACACTAAGAAGAATGATGGAAGATTCATATAAGGCCACATCTTCCAAGAACCCAGGAAATTCCACAGGATCTGTAGGATGAAAAAAAATTCACCATTACACATATTTCCAGACCGTTAAGACAGTTGTACATTAACACCAAACCAAAGGTTAGAATAACAGGGCCTAAATAACCAGACTGATTCTGTAACTTGAATACAATTTATTAGTTCTAATATATAATATAATTATTCATTCATTAGTTTTCCCTTATTTAGGTTAATAGTTTCTATTTTGTTTTTTTATGTTCCATGGCCCAGGGGTGGGCAGAGGCTCTCTGTAAAATGGGACACTATTTTCTGCCAAAATGTTATGTTATTATTATTAATATGTGCTGTAAATAATAG